TCACATTTGTACTTGCCAGGATCGAACCCGCACCCTCGTGCATGAGAGGCGGGCCTTTAACCACTAGGCCACCACTGACTCATTCAAAGTACGCGCAACACTATTTATTTAAAAAGTTATTTGCTTACATGTATTCGGATATACAACAGCTTAGAAAATATATAGTCGGGGAGTGCAAAACTATAACTAGCATTGGATAATTCTACGTATCTAGTAATAAATTAAACACTAAATAATTACTAATTGTGAAGAAATTACCATTAAAGTCGTTAATATAGAAAATATTTCAGCTTAAACTTTCTTCTGATAATCTGCTTCAATGTAGATACGCGGAATTATACAATGCTAGTTACGCGGATTTATACTATCTAGGATATGAAGACCTGCAAGACCTGGTTTGAGAGTACTAGTTTTGGAAAAATAATAAAATCTGGAGATTAATCATCTTTCATAGTATACTTGGACGTAATACAGAGGTTGCAGATTTGATTCCTTGTCATGTCAATAAATTTTTCATTTATATCTTTCTATTTGATATTTAATTCAAATATTTTTCATAATCACTAGAAAAGTTCACAAAATAATTTGTTATTTACGATTATTAAAAACAATACCGAATTTTAAAGGATTCAGACATTTCCATTTCCAAATAAAAGTTGAAAATAATGTTTTATGACGAAAAAGATTATCATTATTTAATGTAAATAAATACCTTCCATTGTGAATTTACATATAAAATATTTATTTCAGACGAAACTTGGTAGTTTGTATTTATCATGTTTGAATTCTAATATAATTTGGTCAAATCTATTAATTTGATAATTGATAGGACAGTGCTCCAGATGTTGCAAACATTTTCTCAGTATTAAAATAGTCATTCTTACAAAACCATATATATAACTTCTCATTGCTTATAAATTACTATAGTTAACATAGAATAATCTTAACTTTGTATTAAATATTTTAATCAAAAATTATCAAAATTATGAAAGCATTATAGTAATCTATTTAAAAAAATCATTAATCTATCTTTACATCCACTGTATGAGTGATTTGTTAATGTACATATCTCGAAACTAAGAGTAGTCATTTTAACTAGTATACTACTAGCATATAGTATATACGTATGAAATGACAGTACAGTATAAAGTGGATAAAAAATATAATATGTACTTTGATTTCAAAAACAGCTGTTATAATATGAAATATTACTTAGATACGTAAAAACATTGAAATATTATTATCCTCCTTTTATAATAAGATCTAGAAATACAAACAGATATTTGCAAGGAATAATTTCAATTTTTCTAGAAATTTACTCTTCCATACCATTAAAATCGATATATAAAAGGAAATCGTATTAATTACACTATTTATAATTCAAGAACGGCTGTAGGGATATGGCTGGAAATTTATAAAGAGATGGATTAGAACTAGGGAAAGGACATAGTATAATTTTGAAATCGTTCAACAAAAAAATAATATTGCTATTAAAATCCAAAATCTGTACATTTACTGCCTCTAAATCGAAACAGTTCGACTGGTCAGCTATATATGTCTTATTATGAAACGAATGCAGGCAAAGTCGCATGTAAAAGCTACTATTTAATAAAATATCCCAGTTATTTCTATAGTAAATGTGTCAAAAAGTTAATGCACGTAGATTGCGAGTTAAGATTCGTCGTTTTTACGTATCATTTGTAATTTGGATACGATCCAAATAATAAATTTAACGTGGCATTTTAATCACAGGCATCGTTATAAATATATTCAGAGTTTAATTATAAAAATGGTTCAATGATACAGTAATGTGAATTAATTTAGTAAATAGGTTTTCTGGAGTAAATTACTGAAATACTGAAAGTTGAAGTATATATTTTAAAAATATAGTAAGGAAACATTATACAGGAATATGTAAAGTATGTAAATATTTGTATATAGTGACGTATGAAAAAAATCGTAATTATTCATTATTTTTCAAGCATCAACCAAATTAATATTATTTATTTAATACGTATTGCTCTTTAAATTTTCTTTTCATTATGGACTAAAAATATATTAAAAGGAATTATATTATATCACAAATATTATTTCTATCATATCAAAATAAAACAAAAATATCATTCACAAAACGTATATAAGGAACGCACGTGGCGTTGTCTGTCTCTTAAGACCAATGGCTTAGATCAAAAATATCCCCAATGCGTGTGGGAAACAGAAGCGACTGAGACGATTATAGAAATACTTTAAAGAGCACGATTTAAATAACCGTTATATTATAATATATCTTTTCTTTCTTTAGAAAATATTAACAGATAAAGAAAATTTATATAACTGTATTTATAGGCTTTTCTTTTTGATTTGGGACAAAAATATTATTGCAATAAAGATTCCGTAGATTGAGCAATGTTGTTCTCTCAGCATTATTTTGCATACGTATTTTCATTTATTTCTTAATTTAGATCTAAAATTATGGATTTATATACATTTAGTCGAGGATAGTGCAAATCCGCGTAACTAGCATTGAATAATTCCGTGTATCTACATTGGAAGTAGATTATCAGAAAAAAGTTTGGGCTGAAATATTTTCTATATTAACGACGTTTAAAGTAATTTTTTCACAATTAGAAATTATTTAGTGCTTAATTTATGTTTTGCACTATTCCCGGCGATATCTATATATTTTCACTTAATTTTTCATGAGTAATTAAACAATTTCTTAAATACTCTTATACACGTAATAGTATTAACAAAATTAGGGGTTACCTAGGGTCAAGTTTATCGATTGACCTATCTAACCTCGGGGTTGGCGTTCCAAGACAAAGGCGCCGATATAAATAATAACAAAACAATTGATTTATTAATAATAATCGTATGACAAATGTTTATCAGGCTCATAGTCGAGAATACTTATTATTTAAGTCAGTGGTGGCCTAGTGGTTAAAGGGCCCGCCTCTCGTTGCCGAGGGCGCGGGTTCGATCCTGGCCCGGGCAAGTACCAATGTGATTTTTCGGATGTACTTTGATTCATGTTGAATCCCAAAAGAGGGTCGATGTCAGGCAGGCGGCCGATCGTAAAAACAAAAAGCCAAAACTATACACAACATGTAAGGCAGACCCTGGCTATAGCTAGGAAAATTGCCTGGTAGAAGAAGATAGTTAAGAATAATATAATTTTACCAAAAAATATTATCTAACAAGATCTAAGACTTTTGCGAGTATTCATTTGAATGAAACTAATATTTTTCGGATTTGACTACGTGCATTTTGTTATTGTCAAAACTACATATTCCCAAAGTTTTGGTTACTTTTCAGCAACCATAATCACGGACAGACGAGATGTGAAGGTCATACAGTTGCTGAAAAGTAACCGAAACTTTGGGACTATGTAGTTTTTACAATAATAATATACGCGTAGTATAATCTTAAAAATATTAATTTCATTCTTATTATCTATATTCCTAAATAAAATTAAAAAAAATTGCCCCCTAGTATTCCTATTCTTTCATTAGGATGTAAAGACACAAGTCAGAAGTGTACACATAAATTTTGTACACCGAATCAATGTTGTACACAAATATTTTAAGGCATTACACGTTAATGTACAACGTTAAAATGTTCTATTTCTGTGACGTGACGCGCCAACAGAGAGTTACGTGACAGTTATTCTTGGGGAATTTACGACTGTGTTTTAGTTTCTCCTCCATAATATTAATAGTTGCCAGTTTTCTGTCAATGTTTGTGTTTTGTTATAATTACGAAATTATCTAGTTGGATAATTTATTTAACTTTAACCCGAGAAATAAAGGAAGTTATATAGAAAAGATTTAAAATCATAATAAATGAGATATCTATCGATTTTGGTGTGCGAATATATGGTTTAAATTATCTTGTACAAGTTAGCTATATTTAATTCTCACAAAAATACTATACATATAGAAATCACTATTTCTGTATCTGTTAAATGATAAAAGATCTTTATTTATTTGATTCTGATTACTAAAAATTCAGTACATCCTTGCCGTTTGGTTACTTATTCACACTAAAATTTAAATTAGACAAATGTATGTACTGTAAACATATATTAAAATGTTTGATTGTTGTCTGTGATACTGATTCATTTCATACATAAATGTTGGTGCTACATATTATATTCAAAAGAATAGTGTCTTAGAAGACACTATTACATAATACATATACAGTGTAAACTCTATATAACGACACTGAAGGGACCGTGCATTTTAGTGCGTTATAGAGAGTTGCCGTTAAATAGAGGGAAGAAAAATCATTATTAGAAAAAGACAAAGTTTGTTTCAGACTACTGTTAGTACTTATGTACATAAAAAAGAATGTTATAAAGTCTGTTGTTTTTGTTTGACGTGTTTTGCTGCACCAGTAATGTTGTTGTATTTTTTACGTATTTTATTCATATCTTGCGATATTGAGGCATATTGGTGAAGAACGAATTTCTTAGAAAGTTTGGTATGCATGATTACGACAGTGGAGTTTATTGCGGGCTAGGATAACAAAGCGACAAAAAAACGTACACAGCTGCGCATTTTTTACTCATTTTAGCAACTTAAAGGGTACTTTTAATTACTTAATTTTGTCGTTATTGAGAGTGGCTGTGACGCTATATAGAGTGTATCATTGTATGGTAGACAAGTTAAACCAACCAAAGTCAAATGATTTCGACGCTTTAGAGAGTTTGTCGTTAAATCGAGTGTCGTTATATGGAGTTTACACTGTATATATACTAGGTGCGCCCCGTGGTGTTACCCGTGGATTTCAGGGATTTCCGGGAGGTAAAGTAGCCTATGTGCTATTCCTTGACGTCAGCTTCCTATATACAAAATTTTATAAAAATCGGTTCAGCCGTTTGAGCGTGAAGAAGTAACAAACATAGACACACACTCACAAACTTCCGCAATTATAATATTAGTAGGATATGATGGTGTTCGATATTTATACATAACATATATTCTATTCTAATATTCCAGGCGTCTGGAGTGACAGTATCGGACGCATGCAAGACCACGTACGAAGAAATCAAAAAGGATAAGAAGCATAGATACGTGGTGTTCTACATCAGGGATGAGAAACAGATAGATGTTGAGACGGTCGGCGGGAGGAACGCGGAGTACGAACAGTTCCTGGAGGACTTGCAGAAGGGGGGCACCGGGGAGTGTAGGTGAGTGACACACACACACAAACACAGACACACATGTATATTTTTGGAGGTGGTAGAGCCTAGCTGTGGTCAGTTACTACAGCTCGAACATGGTCTTGCTCGACCGGGGAAGTACCACGCTCTCACAGAAGATAGGCGTGAGGTAGTCTTTTGGCTGTGTTTCGTTCGATGAGTGAGAGAGCCGGTTGTCTTTCCCTATTCCCAACCTTTCCTACATTTCCTTATTCCATCCCTCCCTATCCCTAAAAAACAAGGTTTGACAACGCATCCGCAACAAAGACGTTGCGGGGATGTCCATGGGCAACGATAACCACCTTCCATCAAGTAGGCTGTCTGCTCGTTTGCCACCTTTAACATAAAAAAATATGTGTATGTGTATATGCCAACTTTGTGATTAAAAACTACATACTACTGTCATTTCAGTTGCTTTTCAGCGACCATAATTATTGGTAGACAAGATGTCACGAATTTTGTGTGCCCATAATGAACTTCTGTCATTATTATGTCTATATAACACTGATATAAACAATCAAAACGTAAATATGTCTGTAGCAATTATTTCATTATACCAGTATAGTACAAATATTAAAATTTAAAATATATCTTTTATTAAAATCTTAATAATTTTTATCACAGTGGCAATATACTGAATAAGACTTTTATTAATATTTTAAATTAAGGCAAAATATATATCTTATTTTATTTCATAATAATCAATAATATCATTGTTAAAATTTGTCTTTTTTTGGATAGAATTTGGATCAAACATGGATGATTTATTTATGAGCCATTATAATAGAATATTTATTGTAAATTTTCTTTTCCACTAGCTTAACAGTATTATAATTACTACATTTATTTAAATAATTAACTACATTTTAATTAACAACATTTCTTTATTATTACAGATATGGTCTCTTTGATTTTGAGTACACGCATCAATGTCAAGGTACATCGGAGGCCAGTAAGAAGCAGAAACTGTTCTTGATGTCGTGGTGCCCCGATACAGCCAAGGTTAAGAAGAAGATGTTGTACTCTAGGTGAGAGACATTATATACAACACTTATATATAATATACATAAGGTAAATAATTAAATTTCATATCTTTGTATACAATATTAAATGCAAATATTGTATGCAATATTAAAGTCTAAACAGAAACTAAGTATGTACCTATTTAAAAACTTTGGCTGTAATTTACTTGTCATAGTGAACATATTATTGAGAAAAGCCATTTCCAAAAAGATTAAACCCTTTAGTGACTGCTAGAGGCTTAAAAGAGGTAGTTAAAGAGACATAGAAAAAAATTGTAGAGACTTTGGAGGGTGATTTATAATTATAATTAACTCTCAATGTGGATATTATACAAAATAAGTTTGCAAATCACTAGCTATGCTATCTACACTGTATTCTATTCTATATACTAGCAAAATATAGTAGCATTATTTATGTATATATGACTATAATTATGTATATTAATTTTTCAGCTCATTCGACGCTTTAAAGAAGTCGCTAGTCGGTGTGCAGAAGTACATCCAGGCGACCGATCTGTCTGAAGCATCACAGGAGGCCGTCGAGGAGAAGCTGCGCGCCACAGACCGACAGTAGGCGAGCACGCGCACGCACCGACACGCACCAGCACCCGCACGCGTGTACCCGCACGTGTACACACATGTACACGCCCGTGTACATATATAACTACGTCGGTGTCGGTGTACGCGAGCCGTTCTTAGTATATATTACTCCATCTCAACGGTCTCAAGTGACGGACGGATTATTTTCTACTATTATATTATTTAAGCTTTTTATTTAAGCTCAAAAGTTAAATTAAAATAATAATAAATTCAGTGGAAGCGTTTATCATTTAACTGAACCAGCATCGCCGGTCGGCTTTTATACTTAGATTGTAAAAACTTAATCGCCCTTGAAACTTGCTGTGCAGTGCTAGTACAATGCTTGTACAATGGCGATTTTATAAGTATTTTGTAACAGTTTATCCAGAAATACACTCGATATAAGTATATTGCTTGTTTTATTATAATATGTGACCTAATAAATAAAGAAACGAAGCATTTATTTTATTATTATTAAGGACGAAACATGAAAACAATGAACGGAATAAGTTTGTGGTGAAATTTATCAAATACCTACTACAATCAATAAATTTCTGTATATTCTGAAGTATAAAACAAAAAAGAAATATGTTGAGTCGGTAATCAAGTCTATCGCAGATATAAACACTAACCAGAATCCTCTTATAGTCAGCATATAAAGGAAATATTTTCATTTACGCTTTATTCGCTCTTGTATGGTGGAATATTTTGTATATATCGGTGTTTCTATTTATTGGTTATATAATATATTACTATCTTGAGTACTGTGTGGAAACACGAAGATTGGTCGAATGGAATAAATATTTTAATGTAACTATATTTTAATAAATGTTTTTGGACAAATGACATGAGAGAATTGTAAAAAGCTAAAGACCATGATCTATACAAATCGAAATCGGTCACTTTAAATAAGTAATATTACTGCAATAAAAATCTTTTATATACTGACAACGCATATCACATTTAAATTAATGGTAGCGGTACCTGAAGATTATCCTACTAATATTATTATTGCGAAAGTTTGTGAGTGTGTGTATGTTTGTTACTTCTTCACGCTCAAACCGATTTTGATAAAATTTTGTATACAGGAAGCTGACGTCCAGGAATAACACATAGGCTACTTTACAACCCGGAAATCCCTGGATAACACTGCAGGGCGCAGCTATTATTATATATATTAAATTAAATACATGAATAACATATCTTATTAATTTTTATATAATACATATGGAAAACAGAAATACTAAGTTATATTTTTATATCACATGTATGCAGTAAAAAAGTGAAAATAAAATAAACAAGTAAAAAACTAACGCTATATATAACATCGTAATTATTACTTTTATAGTATTCAATGTCTATTTTTCTAGAATCATATAGTTTCAAACATGTAGCATTAAAACAATAAACAGTGGTTCAAATAAAACATCAATGAAGTAATGAAAACATTTAATAAAATCTCCGGCTATTTATCGCAACACATCAACTACAACTATCACAAATCATGCGACAAAAACTTTATTATTAACAATAGTTTGAGACCAGACGATATTATGTAATATTTTTGGCCAATCTAGGAACGCTGTGTCAACGAGTAACTTAAAAATTACTTTAAAATTGAGAAGTTGTACCTCAGATAGTTTGATATTTTTTCGTACAACAGATTGTTAATCACACCATAAGTTATAAACATATATTTTTTAATAACTAACACTGAATTTGTTCTACCGCCTGTAAATAACTCTGCTAAAATCCTAGAAATCGGAATAAAATTCTGTTTATAAATATTTATTAAAGAACTTTAGTATTATCTCTTTAGGAAATCTACAATGCTATATTTTATTAAACTTTTAAAAGCACAGTAATGATACTATTTTAAGATGTATGTTTAAAATTTTTAACCATAACAATATCTACCTATGTTTTTTTAATCTATTTATTTGTAATAACAGACAAGTTTGAGGGAAGCAATGGGACAAAGATAACTCTTTAAATGCATTTCGATTTTTAAATTATTTTGTTTCAAACAGTCTTTTTGGTCGGAAATTGTGCTTCGTTCTATAGCCAGCAAATAGAGATGCCACAAGTAAAAACTCCAAAACTATCCTACAAGAGCATATCTCGATTTTTATTTCAAATAGTGAAGAATTATATTTAAGATTTTAAGTCTATAAATTTCAAAATATTTCTTTAATAACTTTTAAAATTTTCAAACATTTAAAACCACTTTTTGGCATACCATAGTAATAAGAGGATCAAATAACATTGAGTTATATGTAGACATAAATCTATATCATATCTGCCACAGATTCAAAATACAATACCGATTTTTCAACTCACTGCATTAAAAAAAATCGTCAAACATCAAAATTCACACCCCTCATTGGCCATTTGCATAAAGTTGAATATTTCACTTTATGCTAACTTCCTTCATGAAAATCATACTTTTAAAGTATATTTTATTTCCTTCTCAATTTAATGAATCATTTTAAATACTGATCGTACTGATAGTATCTGCGGGCGCCGGTGTAACATTCGGTTGTTGTATGGCTGGATCCAGTAACGGTATGCTATCTGTGGTCCTTGACATAAGAAATATTAATTATTATATATTATGTATCTATGTATTAAAATTTAAAAAAAAAAGTTTATATGTGATAAGAGAATAACTACGACTTAAAATTTATGAATATATAAATTAGGAATGAAACTGAAAGGTTTACGTATCTCTGTTCTCTAAATGTGTTTACAAAAGTTATGTGTATAAATAGCGGAATATTTCAGTTAATTCCACTAATAGTAACATATAAGATGAATGATAAAAATATATTTATGATATTTATTAAGCAAATTATACATACTTAGTCCGTGTTAATGTTGTTTCGGCTACGACTTCCTCACATGGGGCGGTGTTGCTGCGAACGATCGGCAAAGTCGTGCAAATGGTAGCCGCCAGGTAAATATGCTGGGATTATTGATAGATTAACTTTAATTTTGTAATCTGATTACTTATTAGGACAAACTCTACTTGACTAAAATACAATTACTTTGTTATTCTGACTTTAATTAGAGTATTGTAGTTTTATAAAAGTTGATTCGTTAGCTTTAAAACACAATATACATAAAAGAAACTAAATTAGGTAAACGTAATTTCTTGTAAAATATTGGTCAAGATCGACAAGAAACATCGAAATGTAATTCAAATCTGCTTAACCAGTAGCGTAACGATTTTTTATAAACAACCTTGACCTCTTTGACACTCTTTTTTTAAATTCTTTTTATTAAGTTAATATTTACCATTGAAACAATGAGAATGAGATAAATAGTTGGTGTAGACCAATGTGTTGCATTCTCGATAGCCACCACTCCCATAACCCAATTGATAGCGAAAAACGGTTCCAGAACCAAACAGAGATTGAGATATGTCTTCAGCGCGTTTCCTTCAGTGTTCCAAGTCCACTTCCAAGACATGTTATCCATGTAAAGCATATTGAGAAGTCCTTTGTCAGTATACCCTTTCATTTGTTCATTCACCTGAAATAATGCCTCAATAAATCCTACTAAATGGTAGAAATATTATAACATTGCCACACTGATAAATGTCATAATTGACAGTTGTGTAATAATTTCAAATATTAATAATAATTTTAAATATTAATAATAATTTCAAATAATATTAACCTCCTTTGAGCCGTCGCTGTTGACATCATTATTCGACATACATATGTTAACATAATGACATTCTTCGTCAGTGTAATTGAATTCTTTATCCAACGTGTCAGAGCTATCCGTATTTTTCCTACTACTGCCTGGTGTGAACATATTATCTATATTTTCAATACTTCCCGCCCCGTTCTCTTCAACCCTGGCGTTTTTCGGCCAGTTTGCGATATGATGGTCGACAAGCTCTTGTATTTTCGCGGTCAGCATTTCATTCTGTTTTCTATTCACACTTTGGAGACCAACGATTATAATACCGGTATTTATTAATATAAGTATCATCGCGGGTACCATAAAACCCATAACCATGCCCTTTTCAATCGACATCCAACAGTAATGCTTTATTTCGTACTGCTCCATAGATAACGCGTAATTAAACTGAGAAATAAATAAGAACAATTATTTTAAAGACTAGTTTGGTATATTACTCTAGAAAAGTACGTCATACCATAACAATGATAGCAGGAACGCCGTACGCTAACAGATAGTTATATTTTAACGGCAGTAGAGTATCGCACATACAGTACTCAGATACTGCTACAGCCAATACTACGATCCACACCGCGCACGAAATATGAGTGTAATGAAGAACTAACGCGATCCTCTCACATTGAGACGGAGAAGACGCGCCCTGTTAAAAATAATTGTTTTAGGACATAAAAATAATTACATAATTATAGTTTTTTGAGCTATACCTGAAACCTAACTAACAAATTTGAAATAAGACGTAACGGTCGTAAAAAACAAAGTGTAATCAGCATTGAAATATGCCTGAGAATGATACTAATAATTGTTTACTTACAACAATAGCTTGTATATATATTAATGTACAAGCTACTAAGCAGCAGCATAGGTTAATGACCAATGGATACAGCTTGCTGCTGCGACGGAATTCAGCAGCATAATGACTCCACATCAACCACATTATAGCTGATAAAGGTATCGCTATTGCAAGGCCACTAGTTATAAATATCTGTTATAAAGAAATTACCATTAATTTTCACACATAATAAAGGTATATTATATATTTGCATAATAAAATTCCGTCTAAATATTCCACTTACTAATATCATCCATTCGTTTCTAACGCCATGGCACGTATTAAATCCATAGAGGTAAGTAACACTATCTATTATATTGTGCTCCTTCAGATCAGAATCGGAAATTGTATCATCGGGTACTTCAATATCGGGTTCGGTCAATTTGTTCTCTATAAATTTTGTTACTTGTGCTAAAATAGCGAATATGTACTTAATTTGTAAAGAAAAATCTAACTATTTTGCGATAATTTAGTAGTAAATTAAGTTAATAGGAAAATTAAGTCATAGAAATATACTTTTTATATATACCTTGATTGTTTCTGGTTAATATCTCAGGATTCGGATAAAGAGGTGGGTTATCATCGTAAATGGAAGACGTGAAGTTTGAGACAACGCCGCCGTAATCGGTATCATAAGAATTAGTATCGTAATCTGTGCGTACTTCTACCCTCGGGTATCTCATGGATTTACGATAATTAACCGATACAGGTTGAAAGGAACGGTACGTCACTATTTTTTGATTTTTAAAAACATTATCGTCTATATTGGCTCTTCGAATATGATGCCAAGATTTATTTTGTTGAAAGGCTGAAAAAAGAAAGAAGAGTAGATAGGATAGAAGATTTAAACTAAATTTAAGCTAAAATAATATATTTACCTTCAGAGTAGAACGTTAAACACTGATGTATAAATAAAATTAGGCACATACGATTATAATAGTAAGACATTTTAAGTAAAAGTATATTATTTTGAAAGGTAAAAAGCTTAAACTTTACGCAAAGATACTAATATCACACATAAAGAAATATTTCTTGTTTATTGTGAGTACTTTCTGTACCATGTACTACAACTTTGAAGTCAAAAATCAATAACTTTGAAAACGTTTCGAAGTACGCATGGTTTGCACATTGTTGTTTAAGATATTAATAAATAGAACAAACAACTTACTTTTTGAGATATACTTATCAAAAAAATAGATTTTATACATTTTCTACTTAGTTGAACTACAAAAACATGATAATAAATCAAGTATTAATTACTGTTACTTTTCACAATATATATAACTAACATTAGAGTGATAAATTATCTGTGATTTAAAATCTTCTCAAATGTTTGATTACAAGCGTGTTTATTAAAAAGATTTATTATTATATTTATAAAATATAGTTTAGTAGAAATACGAATCTCATTAAATGGCAATATTTGTTGAGATAAAAAAACAGGTGATTGTCAATGTCACACCAACAACAAACGCAGTATTCAATAGCAATGTAACCAAAAATAGATACAAAATGAGTGCTATCTTAAAATTTATCCGTGAAAACCATATTCTGGCGGTCATAGAACAGGCTATCGCGAAAAAGAAATCCCGTTTAAGTCTAAATTCGTTTGAAATAACTGAAATACCTTCCCTTTTATACACTTGCCTCGATGTTGAACATCTTTATCTACATATTAATAATATACAAACAGTTCCAGTGCAGATCACTCAGCTGCTAAACTTGACCACTTTGACCCTGGATTACAACAACATAAATTCATTGCCGGCGGAAATCGGTAACTTGAAAAATTTAGTTAATTTAAACATTAGTTACAATCCTCTGAAAGTATTGATACCTGAGATTGGCGAACTCGAAAATCTGGAGGCGTTCTGGTGCAACAGGATACAATTGAAAGAATTGCCGAAGGAGATTGGAAAATTGTTGAAATTAGACACTTTGGGCGCCCGAGGAAATGAGTTGAAAACAATTCCTGAAGAAATGACCAGGCTTACAAAGTTAAGGTGAGTTTAGAACACTGATAAATAAGTTCTATAACTCGTCTTTCTATATAATTGCAATAAGTCTCAATTTTTAGCATTTGGTGAATAGTTATTGAAAGACATTAATTAAATAAATTATCTTTACTTCCTCAACAGTATATTTTAACTCAGACAGTTAAATTAAAAACATTGCTTTTATTTATTTGTTGCTTTTTATTAATTAATATTGCTTCATAACACACCAGTCAAACAATAATTTATTTTCAATAAAATAGATAATAAGGTTGATTCAAACTTACATAAGAATTATATATAGTGTATACATTTTAATTTAAAAATTCTCATATTTTACAGATTTTATATTGAAACTAGTAGTAATTTCAAAATAAACTATATATAAAAAAATTCTCCATATATTCTGACAGATATGAAATATATGTGTAAAAACCAGTTTCACATATGTATATATGTATATATGTTTTTAAACAGGTGGTTAACTCTAGAACACAATCAGATAGAAACTTTGCCATCGGGTTTAAGGAATATGGAATCTCTGGTTCATTGTAATCTCCGACATAACAGGCTGAGAGAGTTCCCCGACGACTTGTTGGAATGCAACGACTTGATGTTCTTGCAACTAAATAATAATCAGGTTAGTATATACTGCTCTAAGATTTTCGCGAGTACTCATTCAAATGAAACTAATATTTACGGATTTTACTCACATCTTGTCTGCCCGTGATCGCGGTTGCTGAAAAGTAGCGTATGGGGAGTATGTATTTTGTAATCAAAAATAAAAACGCGAATTAAAATCCGAAAATATTAGTTTCATTTAGGGTAGTATGTATGTTATGATTATCTTCGATTTTTTCTTACTTAGAGCAAAGATTTATTAGTTCAAGAGATTTTTGGTTTATTTTGTAATGCAATATGTGGTGTCTTGAACGATGACGAAAACCTCTCAGTATTATATGTATTCACGGTGCGTGTGTCGGGTCCATCGTTGTAGTGAGAGGAGCTTCAACAGTGACTGGGACTTGTGACCCAGGTGTAGGTTTAATATATATAGAGAGACGAAACCTCTCATCATTCAATGTATTCACGGTGCGTGTGTCGGGTCCATCGTTGTAGTGAGAGGAGCTTCAACAGTGACTGGGACTTGTGACCCAGGTGTAGGTTTAATATATATAGAGAGACGAAACCTCTCATCATTCAATGTATTCACGGTGCGTGTGTCGGGTCCATCGTTGTAGTGAGAGGAGCTTCAACAGTGACTGGGACTTGTGACCCAGGTGTAGGTTTAATATATATAGAGAGACGAAACCTCTCATCATTCAATGTATTCACGGTGCGTGTGTCGGGTCCATCGTTGTAGTGAGAGGAGCTTCAACAGTGACTGGGACTTGTGACCCAGGTGTAGGTTTAAGGGTCCCTATCTAACGCGTTAAACGCTCAACTCCACTGTCCAAGCTCCTCTCTCTACCAAATTTTAAAAGAACCTACTAGTACGTTTAGACTTCGAAGTACGTTTCCAGAATGTATTAATGTGAGTTCTGAATAAGTCCAAGTCCTTTAGTAGGTTGTAGAGAGATTTAGCTGTTATACCTCTCGCTCCCACTTCTACCGCCTACAATTCCACGACGAACCTATTTCGAGTGAGTTCGTTACATTTATTGACCTTGATGGTATGGTCTTTGGGGATATAATTTTCCCTAGGAAATGTAAGGTCTATTAACACAACACGCTTTGAAATTCAGTACAGAAATATGTCCAGTCAGAACGCTGACCAAATATGATCTGTGACTTTGTATTGTTTCTCATACTTATCCATCATTATAGACCTATATTATCAATCCTACGACCGAGAAATTTAAATGGTGCATTTTCCGTAACCGTAGAAATGCATTGACCGCCTATCGATAGTCCCGGATCGTATGAGGTGTATCTTGTATTCCGCCTACCAAGACACAGACAGTGACATTTACTGGGTTTTGTCCTCAATCCATCCGTCCACTCACAGAATTTATCCACTTCATCCAATAGTACTTGACAGTGTTTGGGGTTACGTGTTAGTATTGCGAGATCATCAGCGAAGGCTAAAATGGATTCCGTGTATTTGTTATCAAACTTGAACAGATATCGCTATTTTTCCCGTTGCTTATAAATTTATCTACTAAGATATTAATTACTATCCCTACTAATATTATAAATGCGAAAGTAACTCTGTTTGTCTGTTACGCTTTCACGCCTAAACCACCGAACTGATTTTAATGAAATTTGGTACAGAGATAGAGTTAACCTTGAGAAAGAACATAGGATAGTTTTTATGCCAGACTTTTGAAAGGTTCTCTTGGAAACGCGATGTAACCGAACTCCAAGCCGTCGAAGCTGCGGATGGAAAGCTAGTATATTTATAAGGTGTTTACGAACCGATGGACATTTTTTAAAGACTATATATGACTTATAAGATACCATCGGGTCCCGGTGCAGATTTAGACTATTTCCTCTTGATCTGACTACTTAGTTCCTCTAGCGTTGGTGGAATGCCGTGGAAATCGATTCAAGAAATTTCAGGTTTTTGATCGTTTGGATCCCTATACCGTCTTAAACTTTTATGTGCTTTTAAAATTATCGTAAATTTATTCGTTAGTCAAGCGAAGCTTTCTGCTTTCTTTTATAATAATAAAAAATATTAGTTACTTATTGATTCCGACGTATTTTAAAAAACATTCAAATATTTTTGAGATGTAAGTATATCGAAGCAATCCGGTATTTATTAAATACGTATCAAATCCTTGATACATAATAATATGGTGTTTGATTGCCGTATAAATTTTTTTTCGTTAATTATATTTTTTATACAAGACTTATTATGTATTTAAATCGCAATAAAATGTTGTAACAGTTTCTATCGTAGCACTAGTAGTGAAGGTCATTTCATATTTAAGGGGCCTCGTGACTTGTGAAGTGATTTTATTATGGTTTTATATTTGATTGAAATATTTCCTTACAGCTGATAAATAAATATATCCCTACTAATATTATAAATGCGAAAGTAACTCTGTCTGTCTGTCTGTTACGCTTTCACGCCTAAACCAATGAACTGATTTTAATGAAATTTGGTACGGAGATAGAGTTGACCTTGAGAAAGAACATAGGATAGTTTTTATCAAGGATTTTTAAAAGGTTCTCTTAGAAACGCGATATAAACAAACTCCACGCGGGCGAAGCTGCGGGCGGAAAGCTAGTACTATACGTATATATGTTGTTTAATGTTATGTCTTTAAAATGGATCTATGTATGTATTTTTATAAATAATTTAACACTTTTACTCCTCCAAATTAATTTAATGACAAATAGTTAATATCTTATGCAATATTTATAACTTAAATTTTCATTTATACTTGCAGCTTAAAAATTATTAATTCTTTATAATAATTCTTGAAGAATAAAATAACTTTAGTTAAATGAAAATAATATTAGTTTTTTAGTATGTAAACACTGATCATATTATTTTAATTCCTTTAGGTATATACAGGGTGACTGGTGAATTACCATCGATATTTGACGATCATATATGACGAAATAAAAATTAATATAACATAAATATTAATAAACTTCTAAGTAAAGTTAACCAAAAGTTATGTAATTAATTACGCATCGTATGAACACCCTACAGATTAGGTATACACACACACTCACACAGACGCGGCGGCGGCATAGTGTTGTATCAGCACGCCGCCGCACGCGTCCACACTTGCAACACTTGGAACGTGTACACACTTTATTTATTTTTACGGAAATTTGGTCAAAAATTAAGTACCTATTTTTTTTTTCATAATTCGAATGAGAATCATGTACCGAGTATGCTCCTTAAATATTGATAGTAATTCACCAGTCACCCTGTATATTATATTTATCTTCTTATTTCTACAGATATCAAGTTTACCAGAGGGTTTCAATACAAATGCTATGCCAGTGTTGGAAATGATTGATCTTAGACACAATCCAATATGTCAAATAACTCATTTGGTGAGTATTTACATAGTTCTTAAATTACAAACATAATTATTTACTGTTGCACATGCATTTGGAAGTAATTAAGTAATATTGAATTTTGTCATGCTATGTTTTTAACGACGGATTGTGATGCAATATGATGATGATTATTTTTTAATGCGTGCAACAAGTATTTCAAATCTAAGCCATATGTAACTTATTATGTTATGTTCATAATCTAAACAATAATACATTTTAATAGATATTATATTCAACTATTTTTAATTCACTTAATATTTTGCAAACAAGCGTAACCATAATATGCAATTACTTATTTAAACCTATACACTAATTTAATAATTATTTATTTATAGGAACATCCTTTAATCCGTTATACCGAGGAACTGCCAACAAGTGATATAGTCCAAGAGCTGCCGTCATCAAGTAGTCGAGGCCACGTGGTGCCTCACGGAGCGCAAGCCTTGGCTGTGAATGCGACGGCTCTTAGACTACCCGCCGTGCCCGCGATAAGACATCCCGACCCGCTCATGATCGGTATGACAAGTGACAGGTGACAGATGACAGGTGACAGGTGACAGCTGGTGACATTGACAGTTAGGAAACTGACATTGACAGAATTAAGAATATGAAATAATTCAATGTAATACAAAACATATCGATAATAATATTATTAATGCGAAAGTAACTCTGTCTGTCACTGAACTAATTTTAATGAAATTTGGTACAGATAGAGTTGAACTTGAGAAAGAACATAGGATAGTTTTTATACCAGACTTCTGAAAGGTTCTCTTGGAGACGCGATATAACCGAACTCCACGCGGGCGAAGCTGCGGGCGGAGAGATAGTATTAGAATATAGTTAGAATTAATTAAAAAAGTAGCTGTTATAATAATTAGTTATGAAATACAGCTGCCACTGTCAAACATCTAAAAAGGTTATATATATATATAGGAACTTTTTTCTCTAACAGACATGGAGTTAGACGCGTCATCAATAGAATCATCAGAAGATTGGGAGAATAGTGTCAACAGTTCGGAACTAGATGTTCAATATCAAAGCGATGACGAACGAATTGATAACGAGGTGAGTACCAACATTAAAAATATAATAACAGTGTTGCCAACCTTATAAAACCAAAAACTCCCTTAAATCATATATTGGACGGTGTTGTTAAAACGTTGACAAAAGATCGCGCGTTTTTTTCAGGCGGTCGGCATGGTGTTGCCAGAACTATCGCGATACGCGTCAACTGCAAGCTAAATTTTATCATCTGGCAACATATATATTACATAAAAATACATTTTAAGTATCATTTCTGTTGTGATATTTTATTTTCCATTATATGTAAATAATAAATTGGCTTTTTTTTCGGGTTTTGTAAAATACGGCAGTAAGTTTTGTCATGGCACAATTTAGTTTTTAAGGTTTTTTTTTTGTTTAAATATCCTTGGTTTTGGGCTTTAAGAATTTTAGTATCCTTGTTTAGAATCATATATTTCTAATATTATATTTTTATTCATTTTATATTGTATAATCTGTTATATATATAAATATTATATTAAAATAATAATTATGAAGCTGTATTGCCACGATTGGAATGGTAGCGTTATCTTAATGGCTTTTTTATGTCATTAAATAAACGAATATCTTATTATATTACCACAGTTAAAAGAATTCACTGCCAAAGAATATTTAATCATTAAAATTATATAAATATAATATCAGAGGAATCTCGACAAATATCATTTCTTCATAATTATTATTATATAAATGGAATAAATATTTATAATCCTTATAAATATATGAGTATACAATCTGTATTGTAAGTTAATAACTATACGTAGTTATTTTAGAACATTTATATACTTATACATATATATTTCTGCCTATATTGAAATCGAAGCGGCTTGAAATATAACAATATATAATAATATTGTTGCTAAAAATATATCTTCTAAAATATGATTAATACGAAGATATACATAATATTTAAATGCAGCCAGTATAAATATTAAATTAATTTTCATAATAAAATGAGAATTATTAAATTGAAAATAAATCAAATTTACTAACGTTAATTTTGATATGGCGCCAAATTTGAGGTCAGTAAGTGTCAATTTGACAAATTTTTCGTCAAAAAAATAATTTGAAACTTTGAATATATTGCTGTAAATGTACGAAAAATAATTAAAATGATGGTAAGAAATCCAATTTAAAGTTAAATATAGATGTTTAACGTCCTGCCAAATAAAAGACATAATAATGGTAATGCTTGTTTCACTAAGTTTTGAACAGTTTTCACATAGTATTGAATATATCGTGGTTATTATAAATAATTTGTTTATTAAATTTACTCTACCACGAAATTATCCGATAGAAAATAGTAACATTGGATAATATGATTTGGTTTAAAGAAATATACATTTATTTTAGTTTCTGAAAATTAGCAATGTTTATGTATAAAGGTTAAAAATCTTTTCTTTATTATATTTGTACACATATCACTTCTGTTTATAATTTAGAAGGAAAAATGTATATTGATTGTAATAAATATTATTGCTCATAACTGGTTCAGAATAAAGGAATCATTATATTTTATTATTTTATTTTCACCTACTCAAATGTATTTTCCATTAAATAAAGAAAAAAAATTATAAAAATTAACAAGTTTATTTCACATCTTTTAATCTTACAAAAAAGATATATCTAATATTTGTTCATCTGGTGCATTCTCAATTTTTAAAACAAAATTATAATTTATATTAATTATTTATATTATATTATGTCACGGAAATAAACAACAATAATTATTATTTCACTACGATTATTTCAAAACCTTCATTAAATAAAAATATTTTATTAACAAATAAATCTGAAAAATTCCATACAAAAATAAAACATAAACAATATTATTAACATTTCAACACAATCATATGTAAATTATTTATTTCTATAAATTTCCAGTCTCCGTCTTTTTCTTTTCCAACTTATGAAATTCTTCTAGAAGTGACTCTTCTTCTATGAAGGGGAAAGAATCTAGGAGATAGTATAAAGTAGTTTATTAATAAAACATACAAAAACTAACTAAAATGCTATACATATATTTTACATAGTTATATTAGGATGTTTTAAGTTATATTTTTTATAATATCTGAACTTGGAACTAAATTAATCATTTTATATTACAAGGTTATGCATATATTAAATTTAATTATATATATATTATTTACCTTCCCTTTCCAATTTCACTTTACCAATGAATTTCTTGTCATCATCGGCTTTCTCATTTTTTATTTCAATACCGAGTTTCACCTGAAAAAATAAGGTTTAAATGATTATGGGATATGAACACTCTGTATATGAATAAATTAAAATCATTACCTTTATATAATCCGGTAGTCCATCTTGTAAATGATACCAACTCAGAATAAACATCAGCGATACGAAGAATAGATTTGATGATATACCTGTATGTAAGAAAAGAATTTATCAATAACACATATTATATATATACGTAAATAATATATTAGTTATATACTAGAATGAAAGTTTTTACATTTTCATAAGCATGCTTAACTATTTCCAATGATCCCCAAACAGCTTAAAACCCATGATGAAATTTTTAAATACATTGTTATATGTTTCAATAAATTATAATAAATTCCCTTTATATTTATTAATGGATCAATAAAAATGATTTAATTATATACCTGTGAATAACAAGTTCAATTACCTTGGATATGTCATTTATAAATAACTTAAGCCTTAAAATAAAACTAATATTTTCGGAACGCCTAATATGTTGCTATAAAAATAATAAAATACGAATAGTAATCTGAAAATATTAGTTTAATTTAAATGAATACTCGCGAAATTCCTAGATGTCATTATATTAAATCGTTAGTAAATATTGAATATAAATAGCTTTTACTTAAATATATCGACAAAATAAATTGCCCCTATTTTTTATTAAGATCTTGAATATTTGTATGTTGACGATGCATACTTAGTAAAGAAACTTTTGGACGTTTCACAATTAATTATTAATTTGTGAAATGTTTTTTCATGCATATTAATGTTTATGTCAAATCCAAAATGACAGATGTTGTTATTTCACTAATTAAAAACTTTACTTTTTATATACCAATACGATAGTGCATATATTTCTTATTTACAAATCTTCCCACGTGATAATACCAATATATTATGAATGAAACACTGAAATTAAATATTTTAATGCAAACCCGTATTAAATATGCCTAATATACATTTTTTGAAGTGAAACTTCTTATGCGACTTAACAAGGTTGCGTTAAATTTTTAACGCTCTTTGGAGTGGAGGGAATAAAAAAAACAGAACGAGAAGGAATGTTTGTCGCTCGAAATCAATTGTAACTACTAAGTATGTTTTAAAGAAACTCTAAAAATTCCTTTAAAAAAATTTTATCCAGCATTACGAAGTTTCACTTCTACTCCAATATTTTTTTTTATGTAAGCGTTCAAAAGTTTATTATTCTGCCCTTAATTAATAAAATGAATAATGAATGAACCCCTTACTAATGCTTCTCACCAATGAGAGCCGATATTTTCGGCCAGTAGTACATCACATATCTGAGGCCGGTGAAGTGAGCTTCTATATGTAACTCACACGACAACACTTGTATGTATCGAGATTGTAGCTCGACGTACGCGTCCGTCACTGGGTGGGACTGGAACGAATGAATGAATGAATGTAACTTGTACTGAACTTTATTTACATACGTAATACAAAAAAAATATAAATGTACCTCGAATTATAGGAGGACACAACATACTTACACAGTATTGAACTCTAAAACAAAAACTTAAGAAATAAAACTAATACTAATATTATTATGAGTGAATGATTTGTTGTCTGTTTTGTCCTTGAGTGTCGTGAATTCAATGTTTGGTTTTTGTAATCGTGAGTAGTGTTTGAAATTAGCTGTTTCATTAATTCTTAATAACCCCTACTAATATTATAAATGCGAAAGTAACTCTGTCTGTCTGTCTGTTATACGTCACGCCTAAACCACTGAACTGATTTTAATGAAACTTGAGAAAGAACATAGGATAGTTTTTATCCCAGACCTTTCAAAGGTTCTCTTGGTAACGCGACATAACCGAACTACACGCGGGCGGAAAGCTAGTAGGATATAAAACTTAAAAATGTGGTACAAAGTGTGGTCATCTTGTTAGGTAATTGCATACAAAAACATATTTATAATTAACAAAATACCTAGATCCAAATTTTTTTTAATTACTCTACCAGAAACAGCGTTTTGGCGCGAATATTGGAATTTATATAATACAGCACAATACTTTACGAAAAATACTCCTAAATTGACAGAAATATACACTTGATATATAAATTATATACCAACAAAAAAAATTAACTATTTTCAAGTGTTTTCTTCCCATAAACATTTCGATGACTTCAAATAATTAATAAAATAATATTTATATTTCAAAGGAGTAACAATTATAACAAAATTAAGCATATCTATACTACATAATATTATAAAGCTGAAGAGTTTGTTTGTTTGTTTGTTTGAAAGCGCTAATCTCCGAAACTACTGGTTCGAATTGAATAATTCTTTTTGTGTTAGATAGTCCAGTTGTCGAGGAAGGCTGTGGGCTATATAACATCACGCTACGACCAATAGGAGCAAAGATATAGTGGTAAATGTGTAAAAAACGGGAGAAATTATTTCATCTTTGAAGCCTTCCGTTGCGTGCGCCGTGAAAACGGTTCAAGATACACAAAAAATATGTACAGCCACGGGCAAAAGTATTAGGCACCCTACAGTAAGACAAGTTTTAGGGTGTTTTAGCATAGCGAGTGTAAATAAAACTGCATTTATGATTACAATGGTTTATTTTAAGAAAATAATTAATATTTTGTAGGTCTACCTTTTGACTTAATAACCGCAGCCACTCTTTTTGGCATTGACTCTACCAGCCTGAAACATTCTTCTCTTGATATATTTTTCCATTCCTGCTGTAACGCGGCCAATAGAGCTTGTTTATTGCTAATCGAGTGCCTGCGGATATTTTTCTTTAAAAGACCCAATAATGCTCAATCGGGTTGAGGTCTGGTGATTGTGGTGGCCAGTCCAAAAGATCAATATGATTTTCAGTAAACCACTTCATGGTATGCGCGGACTTGTGGCAAGTGGCGTTGTCTTGCTGAAATTTCAGGCCATCGGTGTTTGTATCACCGAAAATTTGCGTTATCGACGTTGCTAGTGCTGTTTCCAGAACTTCAGTGTATTTAACACTATTCATTCGTCCCTCACACAACACCATTTCGCCCACTCCGTCGGCAGCCATGCAGCCCCAGATCATTATTGAGCCTCCACCATGCTTAACAGTGGGAACCACACATTCTGGGTTGTATTCTTCGCCAACCCTTCGCCTAACATAAGTCACACCGGGTGTTCCAAACACCTATGCCAAACGAAAAAAAAACATTTATTTTAAAAGTTATTATTTTTCTTGCAGTACGTTATTTTAAAAACTTTTATGTGTTTTAATATTGTACATAAAATAAATAACAATACCTCAAAGTTAGATTCTTCTGACCACAGTATGTTGGACCAATCTTCCACTGACCAATCTCTATGTTTGAGTGCCCACTCCAACCGATTTTTCTTATTGTGTTCTGACAGCCACGGCTTCTTCCTTGCTTTATATCCTTTTAATCCAGTTTTAAGAAGTCTTCTTCTCACAGTATAAACACTCACTTAGCTGCCTTTTGCCTCAGATAATGCTGCAGCGAGCTCTGAAGCAGTTTTTTTTCTGTTTTGTAGAGACTGCCTTATCAACAATCGATCTTCCCGTTCAGTAGTAACTTTTCTTCTGCCTGTTCTTGGTCTATTTTCATGGGTGCCAGTCTCTTTGAAGCGATTTACAGCATATTGAACTGCACATCGCGAGCACTTCACTTCTCGGGCTATTTTAACCTGAGACATGCCTTGTTCATGTAAAATCTTAATTCTTAGACGCTGTTCAGCACTAAGTTCAGATTTTTTCGGCATGATTAACACGTTAAATGTTAGTCTTTAGAATTGTGATAGGAATAGTTGCGTAGAAGACGTGTATGTTTACTGCAAGCACTGATAACACACTATAACCCGAAACGCAAAAAAAGCAAATTCGAAGAAACACCGCTTAGGAGCACACCTGGATGTCATAAATATTTTCTTTTATCTTAATTTGGTTAAAAATTGCCGCTAATACAATAGCTAAACCATAAAACACACACTTGACCGCTATCTAATGAGATAGTGACTAACAATAGGGGTGCCTAATACTTTTGCACGCAGCTGTATTAAAGAATAATAGCTCTTTTAATGATCTAAAAAACAGTCGGTGACAGTATATGTCTTTCTTTTAAGATTAACTGACAAAAACCGTTTTTATGGTACCTAATTTGGTCGAAATAATATGTTTAAGTTGTATCAACATAATAATATTAATCTTTATTCAAATAAACAAATAAATATGTTGTTGGTTAAGAGTACTTCATTGTGAATAAAAAAAACGTAGGTTTTATCCTGAAAATTCAACGGGAACTCGACCATTCCGAAAACCCCGCAAGAACGGGAACTATGTGGGAAGAACCAAAAATCTGCCGGAAGTCACTATTCCACGCGGACGGAGTCGCGGCAAAAGCTAGTCTTATATATATTAATAAAATTTAAATCAGTTTAATAATAATATATTTTACCTGATCGTCTTCAAAGTCGCTGAATAGTTCGACCTGCAGTGTTTGCTTCTCCTCATTGATACCTGATATCAATAGTGGAGCGAAGGCCAGAGTACGTAACACGTGGTGCAATTTTGATCTGTGATTTATAAGACATTATATTAAAAATATATTAATAATTAACACTAAAATATCAAATAATTTCAGAACCCAACTTATAATATATGTACTTGTTTAAAAACCATTATTACTATGTAGATGTTAAACCAATAATATAGACAAAAGATTATATGAGATAAAATCATATAAAATACTAAGTTAATTCGTATTAATGTAGTCATCTTAATTTATTAACAAAAATCCAGCCTTTATTATATTAAGACTAAGAAAAAACCGTTTTCGTTACAAACTTTCAAGGTAAATTTCACATAGATTTTAACGTAGTTTTCCGAGTGGTGTCTAAGGAAACTCTTACTAAGGCTAAATCATCTAACCTGTGCTTCAACATAGCTGACCGACATGAGGATGACACGAGCGCCCCGCCGGAGGCTCTCATCTGAGCACACACCATGAACATACCTGACGAAATAATATACACTTACTATATATATATGAGCTGAATTCGATACTATGATATAGTGAATATATGTGGATATACAAGCCAATGCTACGAAAGGCATAGTTATGTATATATATGTACATATATACATAACTATGCTTTTTGTATTATTATACATTAAATATATATTGAATTATACATTAAATACACATATCTTTCATTCACGATTTTGTCAAATATGTACATACATATATATTTTTAACCAATCAAATTAAATGTATACAAAAAATAATTTTCATATAATAATTATAGATTACTATGTGTCACCCGCAGTGTCACTAGCATTTATAATTATTTTTTATATAAAACTATTTATAATTTACATTGCTATAATCAGGTAAGTGCCGACATGGTTGTAAATTTAGTGAGAGCAGTTTAAAAGTATGAGTAATTATACATTAATAATAAAATCTTACTTATAAGTCATAACTATTAAATCAATTATGAATCGAAAATTTCAATAAATAAAATGCTGCTATAAGTAAAATATTCCACGATTCCAGTGCTATTGAAGCAATGACTTAGAAAAAATCAATGAATCTTAAAAACTAATTATAACATAAAATTCCTACCTAAATCTTTATTAATTTGTGTCTCCGGTACATCCATTACTAGACGTACTTTATATGGTTGAGACGACATCAACACTTGATTCCGACGAGTCAATTGAACATGGGCTGACGGGAACGAACAGACTCCCATGTTTTCATCGCAAGATCTGTACATATTTAATGCAAAATAAATTACGAACTTACCATTGTTATGTATGAGTTATACATGCTCGGTATTATAAAAATAATATGATGTCAAGTGTAAGCTAAGTAGATTACTTTATTATATTAGTGTTGTTACTTAAAACAATACATACATGACGAATTAAATATAGTTTTATTGAATATTATAGCCAAATGACACTACTTCAGAGTGTAATACTGCTTGGCGATAAGCTATTAAGTTAAAGGTTCAAGCTATATAATGTATACTTCATGGTTTTGAAGCTGTTTCCAGGAACATAGACATATATTTTTTAAACATATCTTATGTGCTAAGACAGAAAACTACATTGTTATGTATGGTCTTGAATAAGTAACAATATTTACATCGTAAAAGTGTAACATTTAGTAAAGATTATTCAAATTTTGATAATTTCATGTAAGAATATATTGTATAGAATTTTCATTCTTGTATATTAATTTGTTTAATTTAATTATATTGCAAGTTATATATGATAACAGTGAATTATAATTATTAATAACAATATTGCAGTAAGGTTAATTAATTAGATATGATAATAGCTCGGATGAAACGTTAGTGATACTCACTTGAATTGAAGATGAACAGGTCGTACGTGAGTCACGTTCGGCATATACGTATAGTAGAAAACTACATACATAAATATGGATATCCATAATATAGCTGATAAAAACACTGACACAACACCAGCTCTATATAAAAGCTCCTTCACACTTGTTATACCATCGCTGGTTTTCTTTCTATAGCTTATGTACTGTTCGGTAACAAAACTCTCGATTGGACGACGAACTAAATCGCGATACACTTTAAATGGGTTAATATAAGCTAAAAGAGCCATTCCGTTTTAAATAATACGCACCATCAATTCAAACTAATACTCTTATCATCGTGAAGCGGTCAAGGAAACGGATCCGGCTATGTAGGGTAGATAACACGATAAGAAAACGATTATATTCACTGAGATAAAATCTTTTCAATAAAGCCAAAGGTCACTAAATGTCATAAAATTATAAAGTTCTCTAGAATGTCGGATTAACTTATAATATATTTTACACTAAAATACTGAAAAAAAATAAATGTTCATAAGTTTTTGTTTACAAAAACACAAATTAAATTGTACTCTTGGCTGTCAATGTCATAAGCTTGAATCACTATCAAACGGCAAAGATCCAATTTATGGGGTTATTAAAATTAAAATAAAAAATATGTACAATTTTTAAATATTTTGTAAATATACACTAGGTCAATTCTTTAAAATTTAAAAGTATGTCAGTATGTGTGATAAGTATATTAATATGAAATAAAGTAATATACTACATTAAAATGCAACCACAATATATTATATTCTAATGTCAAAGTCATAAAAATGTGTCTGTGACATTTATAAAACTCAATGAACAATTTACAAAAATGTAGGATTGTTATGAAACATTGTATTTGTTTCATAAATGTTTAACCTTTAATAATATATTTACACTAATATATATTCTATCAAGTAACAAAATGTTAAAATCCTGTCAATATTTCAATAAGAGATCTATTTCAAAGACAGTTAAAATAGTTGCCAAAGATACTTTACCTGCTGCTGCTTATAATCCGGATATTGTTGAAAAGAAAGTCTACGATGAATGGGAAAGGAGAGGTTTATTTAAAGCTGATAATAAAAACGACAAACGAACATTTAGTATTGTTCTGCCACCGCCAAATGTAACGGGAAAATTACACCTGGGTAATTTATTTATTATTTTGACTTTAAAGATATATTACTAATACAATCTAACTTTGTTCTTACATATTACAATTATAATAATTTCTACGATACTCAGCAATTTTTAGGACGTTTAATTTGTTAAATAAGTTTAAACATATTTTTTTAACTAAGTTAAGAAAAAGTATTTGAAACATTTATTTAGTCCACAAATTAAAAAAATTTGTACATAGATGTATTTTTTATTTTATTTCAACATTAGGCATCACTAAACTTTGATTAATTGTAAATTTTTATTCTGTTTTTGATAGCTAACTTGCATTAGTTACTTGAATTATTATTTCAATATAATTCAACATTATCAATGAAAATAATTTCAGGTCACGCTCTATCTAATACAATCCAAGATGTGATCATAAGACGGAAAAGATCTCAAGGATTTAATGTTCTGTGGCTACCGGGAACAGATCATGCGGGGATTGCTACACAGGTAACTTTAATTGTATAGGAAATATTAATATTTTGAATAACTATAAAATATATTGGGTATACAGGGTGTGCATAGAGATTTGGAGTAGGAGAATATATAAATATTTTCAACATAATTTCCTCATCTATCCGCTAAATAAAATATTAAATGTCAGTAAATATTCATATTCCATATTGTATGATTAAAATGGGCAGAGTAAGCAGTGCTTAATTGCATCTATGTTGTGCATGCCTCGCTTTTATACATTTTCCTTTGCTATACATATTAATTTTAAAAATATATTGTTCACAATATCTTATTTTTTTTTTATATTTAAGGGTGTAGTTGAAAAATATTTGAAGACAAATAAGAATATAAATCGTCATGATATTGGTAGAGAGAAATTTATCGATGAAGTGTGGAAATGGAAAGAGCAACATGGCAACATTATATGTCAGCAGTTAAGAACATTAGGCTGTTCTTTGGATTGGTCGAGGGAAGTTTTTACCATGAACGAAAGACACACAAACGCTGTAAACACAGCATTTATAAGATTGTTCCAAAAAGGTTTAATATATAGGAAAAAGGCTTTAGTTAATTGGTGCAACGCTTTGAAGTCCACTTTGTCTGATATAGAAGTTGATAATATAAGTATTAATGGACCCACCGATATTAATATACCAAATTATGATGGACCTGTAAAATTCGGTCTGATTTACAATTTCTCATATAAATTGAATGATAGTAATGATGAAGTTGTTGTATCTACAACTATGCCGGAGACTATGTTGGGTGACACAGCTATAGCAATTAATCCTAAAGATGAAAGGTAATTTTATGTATTCACAATTTAATATAAGCTTAATCAATTTTATTTGTTTTATTTTAATGTCAACTAAAAGGATTTTTTTAGTAAGAAGATAGGCTTATAATACCTAAAATTTAAATATTTGGTATGATTCAAAACATTGATTTATGTATTTTTATAGGTACAGCCATCTTAAAGGTAAAAGAGCAGTACATCCGTTCAGAAAAACTACGATACCAATAATATTTGACGATTTCGTTGACTTGAAATTCGGCACCGGCGTCGTTAAAATTACTCCAGCACACAGTAAAGTGGATTACGAAATATCTAAACATCATAATTTAGAAATGCTTCAAGTTATTGATGAAAATGGCAGAATACAAAATGGAGGCGAATTTAGTGGCATGAAAAAATACGAAGGTAGAGAGAAAATTGTTAAAGCTTTACAAGATTTAGGACTCATGAAATCTATTAATCCACATCAAATGACTTTACCAATATGCAGTAGAAGCGGTGATGTTATCGAGTATCTACCTAAGGAGCAGTGGTTTTTGTCATGTAGTAAACTGAATAAAAGGGCCATAGAAGTGGTCAAAGATAAGAAACTTAGTATAGAACCTGAGAAATACGTGAAAAACTGGCTAAATTGGACCGAAGATGACAAAGATTGGTGTATATCAAGACAATTGTGGTGGGGACATCAGATACCGGCTTATAAATGCAGTTTGGATGAAGATCTTGTATGGATAGCGGCTAATAATAGTGAGACTGCTAAAATAGAAGCTTCCAAATATCTAAGGGTCCTTCCAGAGGAAATAACAGTTAGTAGAGATCAAGACGTACTCGATACTTGGTTCTCATCAGGAATTTATCCATTCGCGGCCTTAGGATGGCCGGAAAATAACATCGACTTACACAAATTTTACCCTTTAGACTTAATGGTGACTGGTCACGACATACTCGGGTTTTGGGTGCACAGAATGGTGATACTAGCATTAGAATTAACGAAACAATTGCCATTCAACAATGTTTTATTACATGGGGTTATATGTGACAGTAAAGGCGCGAAAATGTCCAAAAGCAAAGGCAATATCATCGATCCGATTGACGTTATAAACGGAATATCGATGGAAGGTTTGAAAGAGAAGGTGGAGAATATGCAAAAAGACGGTCTTCTAACAAAAGACGAAGTTAAAAGATCTATATCATATCATAGAACTAATTTCTCACATACTAATGGTATCCCAGAATGTGGAGTAGACGCATTACGGTTCACTCTCCTCACCCAAGATATAAAATCAAATTTCATCAGCTTCGACGTAAATCAGTGCCACGCGAACAAATTATTCTGCAACAAAATTTGGCAAAGCATCAAATATTTGGCGCTTTCAATGGAAAAACTCAAATTAATAGATGATGAAATTACAAAAGACGATTTAACTTCATTCGACAAATGGATTTTAAGCAAACTTTCGGACATGGTTGATGTGGTCAATAATTCTATCGACGATAATAATTTTCATATAGCAACGAAATGTTTAAAAACATTGATTTACAATCAATTCTGTGACGTTTATTTGGAGAGCACCAAGCCGGGTTTTGATGGTGATAATAAGAAAATAGGATATGCGCATGCGCATACTCTATCCGCTGTTTTGAACACATCTTTGCGATGTTTGTCTCCTTTTATGATATACTTGACGCATGAAGTAATACCAAAAATACCTAATTTTGAAACTAACATAATATATAATTTTGATCATGAAGATGATTATTTTAAATTTCCCAAATATGAAGATTTTCAGATTTGGAAAGACATTCAGATCGAAAATAGAATAGATAGAGTAATTGATGCTGTTACATTAACAAGAGAAATAAAAGGTCTTTACAATATAACAAACAAATTAAAACCTACTTTACACATTAACACCACGGATAAAACATTATTAGACGATATAAAAAACAATATTGATATCGTACAGCATTTATCAAAAACTAGCGAAGTTAGAATTAATGAGGAAATTAAAAATAATGTTGTTACCAGCCACATGGATGCCAACACAGAGATTTGTGTAGAAATAGCTGGTGATAAAGTTGAAGAAATTATCTCAGCGGCTAAAGATAAACTTAATAAGAGAATAAAAAAATTAGAAGACAGTTTGTCCAAACTAGAAATGAAATTATCTAGTAGTCATTACATTAAATCAGTTCCAGAATACAAAATAAACACAGACAAACAGAAATTAACACTCCAAAGAGATGAATTGAGAAGATTGCAGAGATTTTAAACAAATAAATTATGAGAACAACAAAAATATATTTATTTAATTGACTAACAAATCGACAAATTATATACATGAAAACAAATTATAGCAATTTTTAATTGCATTTACAAACTAAATAGCACAGACCACAATACATTACTATATTCTAATAAATTCAAAAACATGTATACATCTATGAAAAAGAAACAATAAGACAATAATTATAGTTCGTTATAATGTTGCTAATATATATAAAATTGTAAAAATCTACATTTATATCAAAACAATGTTATATGTAGATATTTTTCTAAAAAGTTCTGTCAATTTAAAATAATAATTTTGACATAATTCTAATAGAAAACCTTATGTAATTTTGTTAGCCTCTACAACTTAAAACAAATAAGTATGGATAAGTAAATACAAAAACCCATATCATTACAAATATTTAAGTTAAAAAAAAATATTTCAGAAATAGGAGATCTAAAAAAAAGCATTTATTGATTTAGAGAAAATAAATTGTGTGTAAAAAATAATGTTTTATACACAATATTATTATAATTTCTATTCTATATAAAAACTATTTGAAGTTCAAACACATTAAAAATATGAATATTTATAAACAAAACAGAACAATACTAAGTCAATTTAACATATTATACTATACATATTATTTCACAAATTGACAGAACTTTCTAGAATATAAATTAAAAAAAAAACCTATACAACAATAATTTGGTCTCAAATACATAATTTTGTGCTTTCTCCAAAAATGGTTTAAAAAACAACATCACAAATTATTCCTGAAACACAATTTACAAATAATGGTTTCCATAAATATATTTACATTTCTTAATTTTGCTTAACACTAAAGTCTAAAAAACTATCAGTTTACCTATTTAACTACATAGTGAATATAATATATAACAAAAAAAATATGACAAATAGTTTACACCAAAGAGTTTGTAACATAATAATAAAAAAATATATTTAAAAAAAAAACATATAAATACTTTTTTGTTTACTTACACTTATCTTTAGTCTTTATTCCCTTCAAGAAATGTTAGAAGTTAAAATAAACATATTGTGGAAATTAAAAAGTTTCCTAAAATAATAATTCTAATTTCTCTTTGGTAGTTTGCACTTTGATTTCATTTTTGATATGCCTTTTTTCTTGTTTTTGGTTTCACAAACCTGTTTTTTTATTTCTGTAAAAAAATGATATACATTACTATTACTAAATTTAACAAAAATATTGTTTGTACAAAAAAAAATTAATCTAGCCATGTAACAAATTTCATAAAAATCACACATTTGAAGCAAATTTACAATCTTCAAAGTTTTAACATGTCTATCAAATTAATTGAAATTACCTCTTTATGAACAAAAAAGTTAATAAATGTATATAAATAGACTATTAGAAAAATTATTTTTAATTTATTTATATGTATGTATAAAAGAAAAACTATGTATATAACTTACTTATCGGTGATGTTGGCATCGATTTATGTGTAGTACTTGGATCGAGACCTGAAATTATGTTTATTTTATTATTATTTATCATATATATTAATTATTTATATATTAATAATAATTACTTATTGATATTAAATCTAATTCTTGTTCTTTCTTCTTTTGTATCTCATGTAATTTAACATGTTTTACGAGACTGAATAGGTAGTTGAATCTTTGTGGACATTTAGCGCAAGCATACATCATGTCCGAGCATCCAGACTCAACTTCATTCTGGCAGCAAGTCAGATCTTCCTCGTATTTATCAGCATATTTTATAACTCCACCCGGCAATATTTCTAATGTCGGCCAATGTTCAGGATTCGGTTTCGATTGTATTTTCTCGACAATCAACGTCTGAAACGATCTATGTGTTTAGTACGTATTAAAACCTATGAATTCGTTAGATTAAATATATATATTAGGTATATACAGTTTGAGTTATCTAGAAAAATCGACAAACCATTGGCACATCGTGATTTTGGTCGACATTATCTGGTATTATAAATTCAGTCTCATTACCATCGTCTTCAACTACTTCTTCGGTCTGTATCGAGACCATGCTACCTATATTACAATCGTCGACTTCGTAGTTACTAACTTTTTTGTTACTTATTAAATACATTTCAGAACTCCTATCCGGCTGCACATCCGCCATCCGCACAAGAGGAATGTTCTCTAAATCCTCATTATTCTCTAGAGCACTTGTTGCGGACATGTTTACGACACAAACCAATGTTGATATTTTAATTTGACGTTATTTTGTATTCATAAAGCCTCCTGATAATAAAACTCGATGAGACAATTGTCTAAATATACGTGGCGACTTTGGAATTACATAATTAGTTTATATATTAATATCGATATATTTGTTTAAAGTTAGGAAACGTTTTTATATATTAAATTACCGATTAATGGATTTTGCGGATTGCAAAATCTAAAATGTCATGTGTCAAAGTAAATGGCACTTGATTCTGAAAACTTGCCATTGGGTGAAACGATTAGAAATTGGTAACAATTATAAAAGGCTATGTTAAGAATTGTTTATTGCTTAAAAGCTATATTTTGTTTTAATAAATATCCAAAAACGTTCACATATAAAGCAGGAACAAAAATGAAATATATAATTTATATTTTTCAGCTTAGCTATTAAAGTAGTAATTATGATGAAAATTAATTTAAATTAATGCACATTACTTTTGAATACCTACAAAATCTAGAATAGTCGAACAGTTAAAAAAAATTGCGTTTTTCAAATTATATAACTGTGGTAAAACGATCTTCCTACTAAGTAGTACATTTTCTTTCTCATGCACTCAGCAATTGATGCTCATAGCACGCAATCTTTTTTGTTTCTTTCAGCCTTATACAAGCCTTATAAAGCAAGGAAGAAGCCGTGGCTGTCAGAACACAATAAGAAAAATCGGTTGGAGTGGGCACTCAAACATAGAGATTGGTCAGTGGAAGATTGGTCCAACATACTGTGGTCAGACGAATCTAACTTTGAGGTATTGTTATTTATTTTATGTACAATATTAAAACACATAAATGTTTTTAAAATAACGTACTGCAAGAAAAATAATAACTTTGAAAATAAATGGGTTTTTTTCGTTTGGCATAGGTGTTTGGAACCCCCGGTGTGACTTATGTTAGGCGAAGGGTTGGCGAAGAATACAACCCAGAATGTGTGGTTCCCACTGTTAAGCATGGTGGAGGCTCAATAATGATCTGGGGCTGCATGGCTGCCGACGGAATGGGCGAGATGGTGTTGTGTGAGGGACGAATGAATAGTGTTAAATACACTGAAGTTCTGGAAACAGCACTAGCAACGTCGATAACGCAAATTATCGGTGATACAAACACCGATGGCCTGGAATTTCAGCAAGACAACGCCACTTGCCACAAGTCCGCGCATACCATGGAGTGGTTTGCTGAAAATCATATTGATCTTTTGGACTGGCCACCACAATCACCAGACCTCAACCGGATTGAGCATATTTGGTCCATTTTAAAGAAAAATATCCGCAGGCACTCGATTAGCAATAAACAAGCTCTATTGGCCGCGTTACAGCAGGAATGGAAAAATATATCAAGAGAAGAATTTTTCAGGCTGGTAGAGTCAATGCCAAAAAGAGTGGCTGCGGTTATTAAGTCAAAAGGTAGACCTACAAAATATTAATTATTTTCTTAAAATAAACCATTGTAATCATAAATGCAGTTTTATTTACACTCGCTATGCTAAAACACCCTAAAACTCGTCTTACTGTAGGGTGCCTAATACTTTTGCCCGTGGCTGTATTATACTTTGTGTTTCTTCAAGAATAGAGTAACTTATGCTACATTAATGGTGTGTTCACCACCTATAACTTCATTGACACCTTTCAACATGGAATTATAGTCAAGTCCTAGCCAGTCGAAATTAAAAAATATATACATAAATTAAGTTTTAATAGCTGGGTTCAATTTAATGATGATAACTCATGGTAGTTACCAGATTTTGGATGTGAAAGAAAATATATAATTTAATTTAAATTATTGAACATGACACACAAGTATTATCATAAAATAAAAAATCGACATATTAAATAATAAATATAAACATTCATTGTTATAACAAAGTTTATTTTAAATAAATATAATTAATGGTTTACAAACTAAAAACAAATCAATTACAATGTAACATGACCATGATTATTTCAATCATCGCCATAATTCCAATCATGTACAGGAAAGTACATTTGCATCAACGTCTCATATATATCAACATCTATCGGCATGAATGTGCAGAATATAACTCTGTTAACATCCTTATTATCTTCTAGAAACTTCCGAGCACTTCTTAATGCTATATGAGCAGCCAATCTATTAGGGAAGCCGTAAATACCAGTGGATATACATGGGAAAGCGATAGTCTTTAATTGATACTGTTTCAGAAGTGCAAAACAATTTTCATAACATGATTTTAGATTTGGTGCAGAGCCATTCTGTGGACCGACTGTGTGGATAACATCTGAAAAAGAGTATATATATTTGGTCAAATCAATAACATGATGTGCATTTTTTTAATTCATAGGTTTGGACAGGCTAAGATCTCAGGCCATGCTGCCAATTCATTAGTATTTTTTATCTTCATTATGTGTGTTTAAAATAAATTAATAAACAAGTCAGATCAGAGAGATAGTTTAAAAAATGTTGTCAAAAGTAATGATGAAACTTCAAGGAAAAGTATCTATTTATTTTAAAATCTTAAAATCTTTATTTATATATTTATCAAAATGAATATATGTATTGTTTTTATTTTATTTTTCTTGTTACTTACAACTGGCAGGAAGATTATAACCGCAAGTAATTCTGGCCTCACCAGTAGGACAGCCACCCAGAGTATTACATTCAGCCTGGAAGAAATCGAAAATAATAAAAAAAACAGTTTTTTAATTAATTTTATTTATTGAAAAATACCTGAAGCATTGGTCCAGCGGCACGGTGAATGGCCCCGTCAACGCCGCCTCCAGCAATTAGACGAGAATTCGCAGCATTTACGATAGCATCTACCTATAAATTAAAATAAAAAGCTAAATATGTTATAGGGGTTTATCTACAATAATATTTATATTACCTCTAATTTCGTTATGTCGCCTTTGAATATCGAAACTTTATGATTAATATTTATATTTATCTCTGAATTAATTTTTATTTTACGGAATTCGTTAAGGTCTTCATTTGTGTGTTTCTTATCCTGTAAACCTGGGTTATGTTGAACATAAAATATCCAAGGGTCAACTTTATCTATTGATATATAGTCACCAGATTTATATAACTTTCTTTTTTCATCTATAGGTAAAGCAAGAATTCTTTCTTTTTCTTCTTTCCACTGTGATGCCGAACTCATTTTTATAATAGAAAATAAACGCGCTTGTACGAAACTTTTCGCGATACTCGGCCAAAAGCGATTTATGATACCAGTGTTTACCGGCAACAACATAATTTTTAATAAAATTCCAATTTATTTATTTGACGTTGAAAACAGATAAGTTGTAAGCAACAAAATTATATTTAAAATAAGTATGAAATATATTATAATTTATTCCTTCATTTATTACAGCAAAATCTTATGGTATAAAAATAAAAAAAAATTGCTTTTATAATTTCATGACTTGGTTACGTAAAATTCAGAGCTATCAAATAATTAATAATAGCAACATTGTTGAACTTTTTGTGATACGAAAATTGTCAAACGAAATTTCTCCACGTAACGCAGGCGTGCGTTTAGCTAAATTAATAGCGTTTTTCGAGGATTTAATGTCCTTAGCCTGCAATGTTTTTATAATAAAATAATTCGTTATAATATCTAGTAGCATTTGACGATAGAATATTCTAGTTTTCTGCCAAGTAAGTCTCTAAATATACGTTTATATTCGGCGACCCAACACCGGTCTTTGTGTTAATTTAAAAGCCACTTTGTTTGATGTTATTTCATTGTGAAAACTATTTTTCTCTTAGGATGAAGACGCTGAGTCTTCTTCTGGTGGTTGCACTGTCTATAACCAGTAGTTTGGCTGTAGATAGGAACAACTTTAAAACTTGCGAACAGTCGGGTTTTTGTAAACGGCTTCGGCCATTCAAGTCTGAAAAATCGCAGTATGCCTTGAATCTGGATACAGTGATGGTACATGGGAATGTACTAGGAGCTGAAGTGGTCACCCAGGATAATCAAGGAGAGAAAAAACACGTATTGGTAAGTTACGAACCTTGAATGCATGTATTAATTACGTACTTAAAATTATCTTAAAGAAAAAACGACTATTTTTAAAACATCCCTGTTTAATTGTAGAATATTTATTTATTAAATTAAAAAAATATAGATAGTAGATAAAAAAATAAAATTCTTGTAATCATATATTAATAGCACTTAGGTGCTGTTTTAATACATTTTATACTTAGAGACAAAACTTAAATAAACATATTATATTATAATCAAAATTCTGGATATTTCTTTGATCATGTTGCATATAAAAAAATGAAATGGTAATTTTATTTTTAATATATAATTTAGAAACTCCTAAAAGATGAACATTTCTGACTTGTCACTCATATTTTTAGTTATAAAAGGCATACTAGGAAATAATAATATACATATATATCTTAAATATATCTCAATATTAAAGGAAAAAGGAAATTAATATGAAGCAATATAGTATCTTTCTTTGTTGTCTTATTTATTGTGTAACTAGGAAGTGATGAAACGGCATTTTTCTTTCTATTGAATGCATATATTTAATTAATCAACCATAACTGAGTTTTTGTTGTGTAAACAGTATCTTGTATATCCTTATTTAAACATATAGTGTCTTAAATAGATATAATGTATACAGGGTGACTGGTGAATTACTATCGATATTTGAGGACGTGATATTTGACAATCATATATGACAAAATAAAAATTAATATAACATAAATATTAATAAACTTCTAAGTAAAGTTAACCAAAAGTTATGTAATTAATTACGCATCGTATGAACACCCTACAGATTAGGTATACACACACACACACACACTCGCGCGCAGCGGCGTGTTGTTGTATCAGCACGCCGCCGCACGCGTCCACATTTGGAACACTTGGAACGTGTACACACTTTATTTATTTATACGGAAATTTGGTCAAAAATTAAGTAGCTATTTTTTTTACATAATTCGAATGAGAATCATGTACCGAGTATGCTCCTTAAATATTGATAGTAATTCACCAGTCACCCTGTATATATGTTTCGAAATGAAAAGAAATTGTGTTCTTAAATTTTGACTCATATAAAAATAATATATATATTACATATATAATAGAAATCTATTTATGAATTGCATAGAAGTATAATTAAAATAACTATTAAACTAACAAAAAATGCAAAAATTCATTTTATCTTGTTATAATTATGATGGCATTCAAACATTTCTATGATTAAGATTATTTAAGTAATTGTAACAATATATATTATATATATATTACAAATTAAATATATGTATACATTAATGAGAACTTTGGTTAAGTTTAAAATATATAGTAATATATGTATGTTATTTTAACAGTGGCGTTACACACTTAAACTATCAGCTCTCGTCGATGGAACCTTCAGAGTCGAGTTAGATGAATCTGAACCTCTCTATCCGAGGTATCGAACACAGTTAGCCCTCGATGGAGAACCAAAAGAAGATAGGTAAATACAGATTTTTGTATTAACTTTATTTAATTTCTAAGCCACAGAAAAGAGTGATAAAATAATGATGTAATATAACAAAGGAAGTATATAATGAAAACTTTAATTCTCTCTAATGTAGAATAAGGATTTTTTTTGTAACATTTTAATAGTCTAATGAAGCTAACACACTAAAATCATGCATTGTTTTAATGTCCCTCAATGTTAGTACTTTTTAATATATTTATTTTAGTATCTGGAAACATTTGTTGCAACATTTTGAAACTATAAGCCATATTTTTTTTCTCTTAGATATTGTTTTAATATGATTTGTTTATATGTATTAAGCTATGTTGTATTAAAATTAGCATATAGCTCAAATATTAAAGGCTCATATGTTATGTTGAGGATGTCTAAGGTTCAATTCCTGCTTATATAAATTACTAGCTTTCCGCCCGCAGCTTCATAGCGTTTCCAAGAGAAGCTTGCATAAGTCTGAGTAAAAACTATCCTATGTTCTTTCTCAAGGTCAACTCTATCTCTGTACCAAATTTCATTAAAAATCAGTTCAGTGGTTTAGGTGTGAAAGCGTAACAGACAGACAGACAGACAGAGTTACTTTCGCATTTATAATATTAGTAGGGATATCTTATATTACTTATAGGTCATATATATACGTTTAATATTCATACATTCTTTTTTCATACAGTTTGAAACTGATTTCCAATGAGAATGGCAAATTGACAGTGGCAAACAGCCAAGGGCATAAAGTTATCATAACAGCTGATCCATTGAAGTTTGAATTCTACAACAAGAACGGTGACCTGGCCGTTGTATTGAATGATAATAATCAGTTGATTGTTGAACCGCTGAGAGTTAAGAGGGAGAAAATTGGTGATGATGATGAAGCTGCTGCCGTTGAGGTCAGTATACAGACTACAGTGGTTCTTAAACTTATTTCATATACTACCTCGAAAGTACTACGACTACTATTTTGAGAGTAACTTCTACTACTACGACTATTTCGAGATTAATATGAGGTCAGTATAATACAGTGGTTCTCAAACTACTACTACTTTGAGAGTAAATTATATTTTGGCGAGTTATTTTTTCACCTACTGTTAAAATTACTATAACTTATCTGAGCTAAATGAAATTACATATACCCCAGGCTTCTGTACAACACACCCATTTTTTTCTTTCTTGCTCTTTTACTCCCTTTAAGCCTGCAGTGCCCACTAGAGGGCGTTGTTTCCCACTTTGGGAATATCTGGTCTATATTATATTCATACAAATATTAGGTGATTTTTTTTAACTATATTTCTTGAAGAATTTGAAAGTTGTACTACTATATTATATTTTCTAGTAGTTGTAGTATGTTACATAAAACGTAATAGGTTTAACATTTTAAGTATTAATTGGATTTAGTGTTAACGATGTTTCTATCGGTAATTAAATATTGTTATTTAATCTGTGTTGCCAATTAATAACACCTACGTATATCAATAATTGTTATACAAAACTAGCTAATGCCCACGACTTTGTTTGTTTTTTGGATATAAACTATTATTTTGTGCCTGCAAAATAAAACACATTATTTAATATGTAATGCCTAAAAAAATGTTTTTTCTTAATATTTTAGTAACTTTATATCAAACTAGCTTTCCGCCCGCAGCTTCGCCCGTGTGGATTTCGGTTATATCGCGTTTCCAAGAGAACCTTTCAAAAGTCTTGGGATAAAAACTATCCTATGTTCTTTCTCAAGTTCAACTCTATGTCTGTACCAAATTTCATCAAAATCAGTTCAGTGGTTTAGGCGTGAAAGCGTAACAGATAGACAGACAGAGTTACTTTCTCATTTATAATATTAGTAGGGATGAAGATAAAATTGTTTTTAGGTAAAAGTATTTTTTTAGTAAAATAAACCCTTTTAATTACAACACTACTCGTATGTAGTAGTTTTTAATGATTTGAGATTAAAAAAATACTTTCAATTCGATTTTTTTTCAAGGACATTTTTTAAATAATTTTTAACAACTATGTAATCACATTGAATACATTTTAAACCTTAGTTCTAACAACTTAAGATTGAAAATTCTAACTTCTATTCATTTCGCGTAACTGTAATGTTAGTGGTACATTTATAAACAAGATATTTTAACATTATCTCTACGTGAGAGATTGTAAGAAACTCATTATTATCATCATGTCAAAATTTATATGATATGTCACATATTTATCCTAAAAATCGACATTTGATTAAATTCCCATATATCCATATACATAAATTTATGGAAACTTGACTTTTATTGAAATGTCTATATTGTATGTTAAACGGCGACTTATTTAAAATTTATTATACATGTACATATATAAAACAATAATATTTGTATAGCTTATCTAATAACCGCAAATGACTAACTAAATTAGAGTAATCTGTTACTCTATATAACTTATTTTAAGTTTTAATTATGGTTCTTATTTCTATCAAAATAAAGTTCATTTTAATATATTATAATTACACATACATATTTCTCATGTCATTCGATTTTGAACTTTATTTTAAACAAAATAACGTGTATTTTAGTACATTTTTAATTATATTAAACTGGGTAAGTGTTTTATCGAGTGTTTATATTTAATAGCGTACGTGAGGGTCGCGGGTTCGATACTCAATAGTCATTACGCGTTCAATAAAATTAAATTGAACTAATGTTTTAGGTCAAAGGTCATAGGTCACTACGGTTATGTGACAGTATCGTAGTCATGTTTGTGTGTTTGTTACACAAAAATGACTGAATGGATTCGTAGTTTTTGGAAAGAGATCAAATTAATATACATAAATATTCTTTACACCTAAATAATTACTATGAAGTTATAAAATTCTTTGCTTCTTGTATTGCGTGCATTTTTTAAACCAAATATTTTGAATGTCATTTAAGTGTTCTTAATATTATTTTTTTATATGCCTTGTATCTTAAGGCAATCTTTGTTTGATATAAATTGTAAATATTTTATGTATGTATGTATGTGTGTTTGTCGAGCTCACACGAAACAATTACTTGACAGATTTTGATTAAACTTTACAGTAATGTACTTTAAATATCAAAATAAGACAAAGGTTATAATTTAACCCAAAATTCCTTGTACTCTTGTATGGCAGTTATGACAGGTATTGTTTTAACACACTACATATATCTTTGCATCAACTTGATTCCAAAGAAACTGATAAACTCATTAATAAAACCTATACATTAAAAAACGCAACTATTTTATAACCACTAAATGTCCAACGATGTGTGGTTTAATAAAAAAAAGAGTACGAAGTCACAGGAATCGACTTGTATTTAAATAAAACTGTTATGTTATTTATCCATTCGTTGAATCACTAGCTAGCGTGTTTTATCATATTTAAGTCCGCAGACAAAGTTATGAACAATAAGTAGTATTATTACTACATATCTTGAGTAGTATTGAAATTAATATTAAACTAAATAGACACGTGAAATAATATGGTTTTAAACTTCTAATATACAGGGTGACTGGTGAATTACTATCGATATTTGAGGACGTGATATTTGACGATCATATATGACAAAATAAAAATTAATATAACATAAATATTAATAAACTTCTAAGTAAAGTTAACCAAAAGTTGTGTAATTAATTACGCATCGTGTGAACACCCTACAGATTAGGTATACACTGACACTCACACATACGCGTGTCGTGACGTAGTGTTGTATCAGCACGTCGCCGCACGCGTCCACACTAGAACATTTGGAACGTGTCAACACTTTACTTATTATTACGGAAATTTTGTCAAAAATTAAGTGCCTATTTTTTTTACATAATTCGAATGAGAATCATGTACCGAGTATTCTCCTTAAATATTGATAGTAATTCACCAGCCACCCTGTATTTACAGATATATAACAATTATTTTTTTTAAATAAAAATGATAGGTAGATCGTAAATGATAAATTAAAAAAAATATAAAGACATTACATATTATACATGACATATATTGTGATAAATGATATTAATTCTTTTATGAGTGAAGCAGATGAGCGGTATTATTTTATTAAAAAAAAATTAAATATTATATTAATTTGTTCAATTAAAAATGAATATTATATAAGTACATATATGAAAAAATAATTGACAAGACGACGATTCGAACCTACAACCGATATATTTCTTCACCACTTAAACTAGGTATACCGTATATGTGAATCGACTGTAATAATACAGTCAATCTGGGTAACTTTGATTCATCGGGTAACTTTGACAGTGGGATCATGAACTAGTTTCGATTATTTTTTCGCATGAAACCAACATTATTCATATATGTTTATTTTAGATTTGCGATTTTAAATAAGCTTCCTAAATGCACTTTAAAAAAAAGTGAGTTGTGAAAGTAAAAAAACGTCATAACTTCGTTTCTGAATATATCGCGCGAATTTAAGTTTACTTTAGGGTGAATAACTTTTTGAATATTTTGTGATTTTAGTTGTTGATAAGGTAAGTGAGATGTTATACAGAGCCATTTGTGAGTGTACTACCGCAATATCATGAAAAAAATGGATATAATTAAATCATATTTTGAAATTTCATGCATAAATATGAAAATACGTATTTTGAACAGTAACTGGGTAACTTTGACAGTGTCAAAGTTACCCTTACATAGAAACTAAAATGGTGGCGGAAGAGGTGGTAGAAGAGGTGATTGAAGAATTTGTTATTAAAGATGGAGTTTTGCAACATGCACATCAAAATATATTGAGTTCTCACCTAGAACAACAGTTATATTTAAAACAGAAGGCACACTGTTTCCAGGAAAAGTGACAAGTTACACATTCCCGTATTATACACTTGTTGTAATGAGTAGATCAACACAAGGTGGTTGGAAATGGCCAGATAAAAGAGAAATTATTAAAATTAGATAAGATGATGTTGTATCTCCAGTAGATAACAGAAAAATTAGTATAAAGCAGCCTGGGCTCTACACAAGTATTATTGACGATTTGCTCTATATGGAGTGGGAAGAATAGACAAGTTATGCTCAAGATTTTACAAAATGTTTGTTTGTTAAAATTATTTTTGCTTGTTTTCTTTATAATTTGAATAAAAATGTTAAATTAAAGGGGTTTTTTAAGCGTTTTTGATGGTGTTAAACAATGTGTGTAACATTGCCAAATGTTGTAGACTGATTCTTCATTTTTTTTTTTAATATACGACAAAATTGCAAAATGTTCGTTTTATTGTGTCACATGCATCCATTAGTTAATAAATATATACCCCAATGTTACCCAGATTGATAAAAATAATACTTATTACTACATTTTTATGCTTGGCTCTGTGTGTGTCAAAGTTACCCATCTTAGGGGGGTAACTTTGACACACACAATATTTACATTTTATACTATATTGGTATGTTTTATAAACTTTCTGTGGATGTCTAGAGACGGAAAGTAATACGAGAGCACTGATAAAATAAAAACACCCGAGTGATAGGTTTAATTTTTTAAAATATAGTATAAAAAATCACCCTTATCTGTCAAAGTTACCCAGATTGACTGTAATTAGTTTCTTTTTAAAATTAGTTCTTTTATCACTATCCCACGTCCTACAAAACAATTGATATACAATAACTATAAAACATTCTTATTAAATTTATCAGTAGACTAAATTAAACTATTTTCACAATTAGTATGAGTATAATCGCCAAGCTGTTTTGTAGTTTTTTACGATCAAAACCTTAGTACGAGTATGTACACTATATACCAAGAGTCAAGATTACAGTAACTTATCTATTATCGCGTTAACAATACTAGAGTTACCGTTATCATAGTGATAATTATTGCTCGTAAAATTAATATTGTTTTAGAATTCATTGAAAATTTTGTAGTTTGATTATCATAATAATATATAGTGGTAATAGAGGTTCCAGGAAAACTACGAAACATATATGTATATTATAATAAGAACTACATATTAAAACTTATAATCTACACCTAGGACTACATGATTGCACCAATGTTATGATAGCAATACCATTCCATAGCTTGTGTATCAGGAATCTTCTGGTTCACACGGCTTAGTGTTCGTTCCGCGGAGTCAGCGGCGTCACTCGTTATATATTTTATCCATACAACCATGTTGCCCCGGCGATGTTCTTTTATTTTAATATGTTTTTCGTACGTAACATAACTCACAATGTTTTTGCATTTTGAATTACATTATTGTCGTTGTATGAAAATTTTAATATCGTTCTTTTTTAATTTACTCATATTATTGTTGATTTATAAGTCATATATTCCTCATTTTATAGGAAGATGAAAGTGCATGGAGTGAAAACTTCAAATCTCATCATGACAGCAAGCCAAGAGGCAATGAAGCTGTGTCGCTAGACGTGGCCTTTCCTGAAGCGAACCAGGTTTATGGTGAGTTATAAATAACATTATGGTCCAACGAAACAAGATAATAAATGTAAACAATACATTAATATAAAAGATCGTCTTGGTTATCTTATAAGTTATATATATAATGTCTGTAGGGTTTAGGAGATGAATGTTCAGGTTATGTAAAAATATCTTATATATACATATATATGGTTGTAAAGTTGTGTGTGTTAGTTACACTATAACTCAAGAATGGCTGTACCGACTTTGTTGAGAATTGAACGGAAGGTAGTTTGGAACCAAGAGACGGAAATAGGATACTTTTCATCAAGATTGATTGAAAAAAAGAATAATGAAGATTCACTTATTATTCTGCTTCTACAACGCATTATAGTTCGTTATCTTGGCTGCACAATTCTGTTTGTCAAGTTAATGCGAACGAAGTCACTAAAAAAATTATCTAGTACTGAAAATTGGTAGAAAAAATTATAAATATATAAAACATAGGTATTTTTATATTGAAAAATATTACATATATATCTTATTTAATAACTCAACATATTAATATGTATATAATTAATATATAAAAATTTCCAGGTATCCCACAACACACGGATAACTTCTACCTCAAGACCACTACATCGGGTGAACCATATCGCTTGTACAACTTGGACGTGTTTGAATATGAATTAGACAGCCGCATGGCTATATACGGCGCTGTACCCGTGTTATACTCACACAGGTAAGAAAATAAATAAATAATACGTGGAAACCTGCGAAAATTATGAGAAAATGAAAATAGAAAGTGCTAGAAATCAAATCTTAGACAAACTTTAAAAAGATTGCTTAATAATCATATTTAACCCGCCTTTAGTATCTACGTCTTTCTTTTTCCTCCCTATGATAGCGTTGAATGTTTAACGCAACCCGTGAAGTCATAAGAAATTTCACTTCAATAATATATGAGTATATAAATCAACATATTCATGGTAAACCTTAAATACATTGAAGGGATACCTCTCCAGTATCGTTGAATGTTTAACGCAAACCTATGAAGTCATAAGATGTTTCACTTCAATGATATTGATATGATAAATTAATATACTTTTTAATACACTTTATAATTTTTGGAAAACCTTACATTTGGTCATTTGGTCTATCATGAATTTCGATGAAACATATAGTATACTAGCTGACCTGGCAAACGTTGTTTTATCATAAATAAAAGTAGGGATTGATGTTAAAAAACTAAAAAATTTGGGTTGTAGATATTTTTAATTCCAAAATAAAATAAAAAAGAAACAAAAAAAATCGTCCTAAAATAAAATAAAAAATACGTGCGTACAAAGTACACATATCAGAAGTGAAACTTCTTTGGCGAAGTAATTTATAAATCTTGTTTATATACAAATCTAAAACGTTATACGACGTTCGTTCTGTCTCACTCTTTCTCTCAATCTCTCTCTCTCTCTCTCTTTTCCGACACTTCCGTTGCATACCGGCGTGACGTTACATCCGTAAAAATTTTACCCTCATGCGCCTAAAGAAGTTTCACTTCAAAAAAACAATTTATTGTTTAACAACCCTTATCTTTTAGAAGTATGAAAAATAGATGTTGGCCGATTCTCAGAGCTTACTCAATACGCTCACAAAATTTAATCAAAATCAGCCCAGCCGTTTCGGATTAGAACATTATAACACGAGTGTCTTATATATAAGTGTGTAATCCTGTATTGGTCTTAGTATTGTTTAGTTATACTTTATCATGTCATTATTATGAGCACCGTTGGATTACCGGAATAAATAAATAAGATATATATATATATATATATATATATATATATATATATATATATATATATATATATATATATATATATATATATATATATATATATATTTTGTTAATGTTTGTATATATTTTATTGCAGTAAGCGTCACAGTGCGGGTGTATTCTGGCACAATTCAGCTGAGACGTGGGTAGACGTGGTGAACTACGCTGATGAGACGGTGGTGTCCTCTCTGGTGAACTTGGTCACCGGTGGCAGGAAGACTAGGGTGGACGCCAGGTGACTGACATACACACACACAGACACACACACACACACATATACATATGTATAATTATATGGCTCTGTTAAGTAAAGATGCTGGCCTCTTTGCCTGTTATATGTGTAACTATTCACAACACGTAAGACAGACCCTGGCTAAAGCTGGGAAATTGCCAGGTAGAAGAAGATATGCCTTCTTCTTTTTCCTGCCCTGATCTAACTTTATGTAGGGTCGGCAAATATTCTTTTCTTCCACAGAACATGTTGTGAATAGTTTTTGCTAATTGTTTTTACGACCGGCCGCCTGCCTGACATCAACCCTCTTTGGGAATGTATTAATTAGTGCTGTCTAAATACCCTTATAAAGTACATATGACTCGGAAAAATCACGTTGGTACTTGACAGGATCGAACCCGCGCCCTTGTGCATGAGAGGCGGGCCTTTTAACCACTAGGACACCACTGACTTTATACATATACATATATGTATGTATATATTCTATTAATATTATAAATTACAGTTTGAGATTGTACTGAAGTATATACTTTTGTTAGTCTCTCACATAATACTTCCCAGGGATATTTTTGTGTGACTCTTTAATTATTAAGCTCATACACTAGAATAATATGAAACTAGTAATATTATGACTTAAAAATCTATGTAATTCTCCTAAAATATACAGCATGAAAGTTGTAATTGATTTACATAAGTTATTGTGTATGCTAACATTATTAATTAGTAACAAAACGGTGTTCTAAACAATATCCATAATATATATGTACCAATGTGATTTTTCCGAGTCATATGTACTTTCTAAGAGTATTTAGACATCACTGATTAATACCTTCCCAAAGAGGGTTGATGTCAGGCAGGCGGCCGGTCGTAAAAACAATTAGACAAAACTATTCACTTCTAAGGCAGACCCTTGCTAAAGCTGGGAAATAGCCAGGTACAAGTTACATCGTGTATTAAAGTAATAATTATTTGTTGTAGGTTCATGAGTGAGTCCGGTGTGATAGACGTGTTCGTGTTGCTCGGAGACAAGCCCGCTGACGTGTTCAGGCAGTACACGAGGCTGACGGGGGCGGCGCCGCTACCACCGGTGAGATACACACACACACATACACACAGACACACAGTCATATACTGTTCGTACTGAACTGTTTCGTATATATATATACAGGGTGACTGGTGAATTACTATCAATATTTAAGGACGTGGTAGTTGACGATCATATATGACAAAATAAAAATTAATATAACATAAATATTAATAAACTTCTAAGTAAAGTTAACCAAAAGTTATGTAATTAATTACGGATCGCGTGGATACCCTAGCTGCGTTATCGACCCAAAACAGTTATGTACGTAGGTATATGTAGTTATCGCGCGGTAGTTTACCTACATCCAAACGCCGCGCGCCGCCGCGTGTTAGACCTTAGATAAACAAAAATGATTTCCCATTTCCCTTCATACTTTAATCCTGGCTTAGGACAGGCAAAAATACCAAGATATTTCTTTCGTTTAAGCAACCAATTTATTGACTAGGTAAATGGTGTGACCTTGACACAAAAAATAATATGAACTGTTTACCTATCTTGGTATTTCCAGCGTATTTAAAAATGGAATCATACTTATTTACAACAATTGTCAATCATTAAACTACCTATTTACCTACATAACTACACTAACCTTAACAAATGTTCAAAGCGAGCTCCTTCTCGTGTGATACACAGTTCGGCACGTTTACACATATTGTCTTTCATACGATTTAATACGAATGGGTCACTTTTAATAGTTATGAAATCACTATTGATTTTTAATTTCAACTCCTCTCTGTTTATATACTCTGTAGCATACACAAGACGTTTCCTTGGGCATGTGTTGGAACACGGAACTGTCCGAAGTCTCGTAATCTTTGATTAGCGTTTAAGATGACGCTGGCCGTAGCTACTCGACGATTGGGGAACATCACCCGGTACAAATTGATTGCGCCCGGCAAGCTCTCATTTGCACGCGCATACGCATGAACCATGTCCAAGTATTCTGCATTTGTGTATTGAAAAGCCATATTTAATTACTAATAAGTAATAACGGGTCACACGCACACACGACAAATTATTACTAGGTATACGCGTAAGATCGATCGCTAGGCGCGCGCGCGGGAAGACGAACGTACGGACCTTACGGCGGCGCTCGCGCGACTAATAGCCGACTAATGGCCCGCTAGCCACGGGACGGGGGTTGGGGAGTAGCGACACACTGGCGCCGGCAAGGCTGAGTACGTGTCCAAACTTTATTTATTTATACGGAAATTTGGTCAAAAATTAAGTACCTATTTTTTTTACATAATTCGAATGAGAATCATGTACCGAGTATGCTCCTTAAATATTGATAGTAATTCACCAGTCACCCTGTATATACACGAAACAGTTCTATACATCTATTATCATTTACAGAGGAAATTGAGGTCATCATTAAATTTAATCTAAAAATATTTAAATGGAACTAAAATGCAATGTATTTGTGTAGCAAAAAAATAAAAATAAATAAATAAATATTTTTTGGATATACTACGCGGGTTATTTTTGTAAAAAAACTATATACATACGTCTGACATTTCGGTTACTTTTCAGCAACTTACGTTCCTTTACTTCCTAACTTTATTAACAATATAAATAATATTTTTGCTACTCATAGTCTTATACTTGACTTTTAATGAGTTGTTATTCTGCTCCATATAATGTTATAACAATATAATGTATTAAAATTTTAAAGTAATATGTTTATTGTTTCAGAAATTCTCTCTAGCGTATCATCAATCTAGATGGAACTACGCCGATGAAAACGAAGTTAGATCTGTAGACGAAGGCTTCGACGCTAACGACATACCCGCGGACGTAATATGGCTGGACATTGAATATACTGATAGGAAAAAGTAAGAAACTAATATAACTTGAACTATATATAATGAAGTGACCAGTATAACTTGAATTGAGTAATAAAATATACATTAATATGAAGTTTTGCAAGTATTCAGTCATTGATAATATGTAGATAACATTTAAAAAGATATTACTTATATATCTAACAATTTATTATCAAGTTAATGTGTCCAACCAAACAAGATAAACAATGTAAACAAATTTATTTCATATATATTATTATTTGTAGATATTTCACCTGGGATCCGGAGAAATTTGCTCATCCCACTGAAATGGTGGCCAATTTAACTGCCAAGGGTAGAAAACTGGTGGTTATTATAGATCCTCATATTAAAAGGGAGGCTGGGTACTTCTTACACGAAGATGCTACGGAACAAGGGTTGTATGTGAAGAATAAAGACGGAAATGATTATGAAGGTACGATCTAATATATAAAATTCTCGTGTCACAGTTTTCGTGCCCATACTCCTCCGAAACAACCTGACCGATTTTGATGAAATTTTTTGTGCTTATTCGGTAGCTATGAGAATCGGCCAACATCTATTTTTCATCCCCCTAAATGTTAGGGGTAGTCCACCCCTAAATTATTTTTTTTTATTTTTTTGACAAAATTTTTAATTACTATTTTTTTATGATACAACGTACAAAAATACATACAATCCTAAATTTTCACCCTTCTACGATCAACCCTTATTTTTTAATAGCTATTTTAGTAATTTAATCATTTTTCATCTCCGGTCGATAACTGATCAATCGTCATTTAATAAGTTATCCCCGCCAGATATCTACAGGTGTCACTTCTGACCCAGTAAACAGCACGGAGTAGGGATGAGAACGAAGCCGGTCTTCTGTTTCTCTCACACAATTAGACTTCTCTCACTCCCTACACAGTTGTCGGCCATCGTTATTGTTTGTGCATCAAGTGTAGTAGTAACGTTGACAATTATTATTTTGCTAGCTCAGTGTAACTCTCATATTAACTATTAATCATTCCTAATCACTTCAAAACACGGAGATTTATAGCTTTAATAGGTAAACTCCAAAAATATAAATAAAAAAACGTAACAGATATTTCTTGATTATAGGGCGAAACGAAGTTCGCCGGGTCTTCTAGTATACATATAATATTACTGATTTGGGCCTATAGTACTCACATTAATTAATTCTTGGAATGTACATCAAAGGCAGACCTAGTAGGTTCTTTTCAAATTTGGTAGAGAAAGGAGCTTGGACGGTGTAGGTGAGTGTTTAACGCGTTACATAGGAGCCCCTTAAACCTACACCTGGGTTACAAGTCACAGTCACTGTTGAAGCTCCTCTCACTACAACGATGGACTCGACACACGCACCGTGAATACATTGAAAGATGAGAGGTTTCGTCTCTTAGTTAGAAATGATACACTACATTTGATCACTCTTATATAAACTCGATTTTGAACTAAATTAATACGAAAAATTAAACTACTTAAAGATCTAATAGTTTGTAATTCAGTAGAATGATCTATATGCACTCTGTTGGAGGCGAATGTTAAATAATGGTACAAAAAGTTCAGTCGCTTTAAAATAAACAACTGTAGTAATGTTAATGAAAGAAAATTGTCAATTCAGATTTTAAACTAGTAATTAATTTGGCCATATTAATTTTATCGTCACATTTTTGTCGAATTTCAACCATATTATTCAAGCAATAAGGCTTATTTTCATATATTATAATATTTAGTTGCTTAACATACAATATTTATATTCCAGGTTGGTGTTGGCCAGGATCGTCTTCATATCTCGACTTTTTCAACCCCAAAGTCATGGATTACTACATAAAGAGATATCAGTTTGATAACTTCCCCGGGACCAGCAAGGATGTGCATATATGGAATGATATGAATGAACCTAGTGTGAGTATACACACACACACACACATACACACACGCACACATATATAGTCGAGGATAGAGCAAATTCGCGTAACTAGCATTGTATAATTCCACGTATCTACATTAGAAGCAGATTATCAGAAGAAAGTTTGAGCTGAAATATTTTATATATTAACGATTTAGGTAATTTATTCACAATTAGCAATAAATTAAACACTAAATAATTGTGAAAAAAAATTTCCTTATATATTTACAAATATACAATATTTTCCATATCTTTTTATATTTTAAAATATGTATATTTATTGTTTAGGTATTCAATGGACCAGAAATTACAATGCCAAAGGACTGTCGTCACTACAAGCCCCCTCAAGACGGACATGAGGGTATCTCGTCTTACTGGGAACACAGGTACAAACATACATATACTTAGTAATCTCAAAAATAATACATATAGAAAATAGAAGAATACTAGCTGCGCCTCGCGGTGTTACCCGCGGATTTCCGGGATGTAAAGTAGCCTATGTGTTATTCCTGGACGTCAGCTTCCTGTATACAAAATTTTATCAAAATCGGTTCAGCCGTTTGAGCGTGAAGAAGTAACAAACATACACACGCTCACAAACTTTCACAATTATTATATTAGTAGGATTAATTTAATCTGTTAAATAACGTTATAGAAAAAACAAATCGCTATGTATTGACATATAAAACATATGTGCGTTTGAACCATCGCTGCAATAGAAATTAATTAATCATATTTAATATATATATATTTTCAGACATGTTCACAATGAGTACGGCTTATTCCACATCAGCGGCACCCACCAGGGCATGTTAGACAGGGATGGCGGGAGATACAGACCCTTCGTACTTACTCGGTCCACCTTCGCCGGCACACAGCGGTAACAACACTATATATACATATAGCGTTATATTCCATGTCGCTCTAAAATATTACCAAGAATTCCATTTACATAGTTTTAAATCGTTTTTATTTTTAGTATATATAATAGGTTGGGGAAAAAGTTTCTTCGCATTTTTTAAGAAAATTCAAAACAATTTTTAATATAGTTTATTTAAATTTAACTAAAGTATGTATGTACCATTTTGTTCGATAACCTTTGGCTATCTTGTAGATAGGGATATTTTTACATAGGGCGTTGCATTTTTACCTTTTTAAAAAATTTGTAAAATTTTAAAATGTATCGAATTTCTTCATTAGATTCACTCATCTTGACAGTACGAAAAACAAATGAAAATCACACATTTGCTTAATTTGTATTTGGAATTATGTTCTTTAAAATTTTAACTTTCAATGATACCAAAACCAGCCATATACAAATACTACAGCCAAAGACATTTTATAACAAGTTCATACATACTGTAATGCGAAAAGACTTTTTCCCCAACCTATTATAAACAGTTATTACAAGACCCACTCATTATTTTCGTAACCAATCGATAATATTTTCCTACTACATATGTACTTATTATATATACTTTTACTTCAAATTTAAGGTGTATTATAAAAAAAGCAATAGGTAGTAAAATTGTATATTAAATAGACGATTTAAATATCTCTTTCACTCTATGAAGTCGCTTAATAATACATATATAGTATTATATATGTATGCTAAATCTTTTTTATATATATATGTGTGTTTGTAGGTATGCCGCAGTATGGACCGGTGATAATTCAGCAGAATGGGGTTTCCTAGAAGCGTCAGTAAGAATGTGTGTTTCGCTAGCAGCGAGTGGCATTAGTCATTGTGGATCAGACGTGGGAGGTTTCTTTAAATACCCTGAGGAAGAACTCATGACTAGGTGGTATCAGGTAATATATAATATATAGGAGATATATACTCAAAGAAATCCCTACTAATATTATAAATACGAAAATAACTCTTTCTGTCTGTGATGCTTTCACGTGACCACTGAACTGATTTTAATGAAATTTAGTACAGACAGAGTTGATATTGAGAAAGAATATAGGATAGTTTTTATCCCAGACTTTTGAAAGGTTCTCTTGGAAACGCGATATAACCGAACTCCATGCGAGCGAAGCTGCGGGCGGAAAGCTAGTATTTATATATGCATAACCACTAGGTAAATAAGATTATTTTTAGCAACCTTAATATTTAATTAACTGTCTATAATATAAAAAACTAAATAATCAATATATGTCACAACAATGAAAAATTAAAAGACTATTTATGTTGATAATATATCATATGTTAATTTATCCAGGCGGGTGCATATCAACCATTCTTCCGAGCTCACTCACACATTGAGACGAAGAGACGCGAGCCCTGGCTGTACCCGGCAGCCACTATGGGCAGGATAAGAGATGCTATTAGAAGGAGATACGCCTTGATGGACTTTTGGTAATTACATACACACACACATGTATATACACTCACATATACAGAAACATACACAGTATACATCAATATTTAAACATCTATTCTAGTGTTCTTAATATTCATTTACTTATTATACTTATATATAGTTTCATTTAATTATTATTTCACATATAATTTGTCTATAGACCTATGGAATTCAAATAGCGTATATTCAGCCATAAATCAATAATTAATTTCTTAATCTTACCTCAAAACAAACACTCATTGACTTCCTGGTACTTAACAACGAAATCTGCTGTTGTGTCGTTAAAGCAATTAGTAAAAGCAATTAGCAAAAAGCAGTATTGCTATTCGCCAATAGATGTCAGAAAGAGTCATATTTTAAACGACTCTTTTTTGTATTTTTTTTTTATAAAATAACATTTTCTAAAAATGATTCCTAGCTAAATCGATTTAGCGCCCCTTAAATCCCCTACATCCAAAATTTCATGAAAATAGTTGGAGCGGATTCCGAGATTCCAATAAATAATATAATAATAATTACATATTATTATTTGTATTTGAATTTTAAACTGTGACTTATTAAAATATAATAGGTACATACATTTTATAACTCTTTATATATAATACAAGTTACAACCAATAGCCTATAGTTTTCATACAATCTGTAACACACATACATACATATAATATATTTCCTTCTATTCAAGGTACACATTATTCTACGAGCATTCAATAGACGGTCTACCAGTGATGAGACCATTGTTCCAGGAATTCCCCCAGGAAGAAGAAACATTCACGATAGATGACACATATCTGTTGGGTTGGTTATAAATTATACTTCTACCTGGCAATTTCCCAGCTTTAGCCAGGGTCTACCGTACATGTTGTGAATAGTTTTGGCTAAACATTTTTACGACCGGCCGCCTGCCTGGCATCAACCCTGTTTGGGAATATAAATGATACTATTATACTACTAAATTTTTATTACAATAAAACATTATAATTATTATGCCCATAGTAAATAGGTGTATCTTGAAAGAAATTGCTTTGGAATTTGATGTAAAGAATTCTTTCACTATAAAATCTTCTAAAATAGTTAATAAAATAGATTTTCTATGAAAATAATAAAAAAATTATATATTGAACATTTATACAAATACACATTTTTTCAGGCGATCGTTTGTTAGTACGACCGGTATTGTCAGAGGGCGCCACTAGTGTTAAAGTTTACTTCCCCGGAAAAGATTCCAAAACACTCTGGTATGATACAGATTCATATCAAGCATATCCCGGAAACGGATATACTACTATAGATGTAAACATAGCCAAGGTATGTGATATAACTCGAGCTAAAAACATGATAGTTCTGTGAAGAAAGTTATTGAAAATCTTTACTGGAATAATGTGTTTGAATCTGATTGTGATATATGTATATACAATATTTTTTTTCTTAGTTTTTATCTGTCGTTTTGCCTGAAATGGAATTATTCATATATATATTAAATAGTAATATGTTAGCATACATATGAGAGCTATATTTTTTAAATCATAATGAATCCGAAGTATTCTACTAAATGTAGTTTTTATGAGTAAATATCATATATCTAATTATCAAAGTAGTTTTTTATTTAAGGTGATATAGTCAGAAAACAGGTTATGTTAGGATTTAATTAATTCATGAATAAATTCTATGCATAACTCTAAAATAAGGTATCATATTAATATATATAAAAAATATGGTAATTTTATTTCTTATGTTACTTTAATGTAATTATACTTAAGCAGCTTTTTATTACAATATATACACTTAGAATTTTCATTGTTGGATCTCATAAAATTAAAAACAATATTTCTGTTTGAATTATTATTATGAATATCTTCTTCCTGGCAATTTTCCAGCTTTAGCGAGGGTCTGCCTGATTATTATGAATATAACATAGAATAAACACTAATTATTATTATATATATATCTCTTTCATCATATTAATTTGATATACTTATTCTTTCAGACTCCGGTGTATCAGCGAGGTGGTACAGTGATTCCTCGCAAGGAGAGAGTGAGGCGAGCATCTACACTCATGGCTGATGATCCTTATACTATAGTGGTTGCTTTGGATGAACAGGTATGAGGGAAGATATATGTATAGACAGGGGTAGATAGATAGGGGTAGATATGTAGATAGAAGTAAAGAAGTGTAGATGGGCTAATGATAAATAGACAGGAGTAGATATATATACAGTATACACACTGGCAGTAGTGTTTGTAGGCAGAATTATAGAGGTGTGTATACATGTTATAATTATTATATAAGTACAAATTATAATTATTGCCAATGTATATTAGCAGGGGGTGTAGACAGGTTTAGATATACATATATTATTAGAAAACCTATAACTTTTATCCTTACATAATCTTTAATTATAAATATATCAAACTAACTATCTGTGATAACTAAAAATTTATTATATATATAATAATGAAGAATAATTAATCATTATAAATAGTTTAATAAACATTATTTGTATCAGAACAAGGCGAGCGGCACGCTGTACATAGACGACGGTGAGACGTTCGACTACAAGAACAACAAGTACATATACGGACGAATTACCTACACGCCCGACAACATGACGTACAAGTGAGTTATATATATACTAGCTGCGCCCCGCGGTGTTACCCGCGGATTTCCGGATGTAAAGTAGCCTATGTGTTATTCCTGGATGTCAGCTTCCTGTGTACAAAATTTTATCAAAATCGATTCATCCGTTTGAGCGTGAACAAGTAACAAACATACACACACACTCACAAACTTTCGCAATTATAATATTAGTAGGATATATAGAATAATATATGAAGATTTACATAGGAATTTAATCAATATAATTTAATTTTGAGTTATTTTTGTCTCTAGTCACAATAATATTCATTTTCTTGTATTAATATTATTCATTTGTATAAATTTAAATGGAACTTAATATACTTTATTACTTATATTACCTGTAATATTGTAGCTCAATTCATTACAGACTATTGTTTCTATGTGATATATCCAAAAAATATAATATTAATATTCATAATTTTGATGTTAACGACGATTAGAGCTTTTTTTACTTATATATGTATGTTAAATTAATATTAATAAATTTCTCTTCCAGATTTATAGACAAGAACGCGCATTACCCAACACGTTCGTGGGTAGAGCGTATAGTGATAGCGGGTATTAAAAATCCACCGAAATCAGCGAAACTCGTACAAGAGGGTAAAGTTACCCCGCTGCAAATGACCCTACATCGGGGTAACGACGTACTTGTTGTAAGAAAACCCGCCGCAGCTATGGCTAAAGAGTGGGAAATACACTTCACTTATTAAATATATGCCGGTCTTGGCGGGTAATTTGGATTTGATGACGTCATTGTCTATGATAATGCGGATTTGATACATAATATACATTTTTCTCGATTTGATTACCGCCAAAACCGTTTTATATTTTAATATCCTAAGTTCACTTTGTTGTTTAAGTGATATAGTATTTTATAACATACGATGAAGTCATTATAGAGGTAGAAATCTGTGTGGGAATAATGAATATGATATAAATAATACTTTATTAAACAACGGTCTCAAATAAAGTATTTTAAATGAAATCCTTCCTATTTGTCCGTATAATAGTTTCTTTATATTCAGACATTTCCTTACAGGTGATATGTTATATACATTTAAAAAAATAAATATTATATGAAACCAGTGTTTTGTAACGTAATAAAACCGATCAAATGACATTTATATAATAAAAAAATTCTGTTTTAAATTTTGAATATACTCAATACAGAACTGGCAACATTAAAACATTTTGGACATTTGTAAGGTATCCATAGATTTATTATTTGTGATAAATAAAATACAATTTTATATTTACGCCTTTTATTAATAACCTTGCCTATAAATATAATATATCAGGCACTGATTGAGGCTGTGAGCACAAAAGTGACTTGCCTTAGAACGAGTTAAAATCCACACGAACAGTTAACTGTAATACTGTACGTCTGACGTTAAAAATCGTTCTAAGGTACATTTGGAGACATTTTAAAATATATTTAACATTTCTGGAGCTATTCCACTAGATATTTATTGAACGCATCCAACAAGGAATGATGTACCTATAAATCTATACATTTCATATAATTAAAAATCATCAATTAATTATTATAATTTTTGTAAATATACTAATGTACATATTCCTTGTGAACACCTGTCTAGTGGATTAATTTTAATATTTTATTAATTTTAAAGCTGTTTACAATATAGAGCTACGGTTCTTCATAATATATATTTACTATAAAATATTATATCTATTACAGGCGCCACTCGTGTGCTAACGTAATCTAACAATAGACTAGCTTTCAACGCGGCGTCACTCACCCAAATCTATGAACATCAACTATGAACTGAAAAAAAAACTTGTGATAACACGCCTAATAAAATTATATCAAACCATAGATCACCGGAGATGAAATAAATAAACGTTAAAAAATATTTGCTTATAACTATTTGAAGAATATTCTAGTAGGTTTGTCTTCGTTCGGAAATTCTATGAAGGGATGTGTTTGTTTATGGTCCAACATATCATCTTCGTTTCTGAAAGCCTCGCCGCACACGTCACAGATGGCGTCTTCGTCTTCTGATGAAGAATCATTATTCTTCTTAACCTCTTTCGAGTCGGTTATAGTAGTTTCCTCTATTAAAGGTTTCCCAGTCGTGAGGTATGCTTTCATATTGGCGTGTTTGACCGACATCTTGTGTTGTTGGAGCCTATTCTCCGAGCTACACTGGTATTCGCATATAAAGCACACGTATTTCATGTCCCCGGTGTGTAATTCCGCGTGAGCTTTCCTCTTTTCTGGCGTCGCGAAGCGGAAGTCGCAGAATTTGCAGGGATACTTCCTGTCTGGTGAATGGAAACGCATATGCGATGTCAATGCATCCATATCTTTGCAGATTTTCCTGCATTCAACGCACATAACTCCTTGTTGTATGGCCATAGTTTCTTCAGCGCTCGGCGTGTTGTGATGTATTCGTCTATGAGAGGTCAAGCCTTTCTGGCTGACGAATACTCTCAAACAATCATCACACTGAAACTGGTCCTTGGCTTTAGAATCCGAGCCATGTGATTCCAATTGGTGTTTCGCAAACTTATCCGCTTGATAGAATTGTAAATTGCACTCATCGCATTTCCAAGCTTGGACGAGTTTTGAGAACGCTTCTAGGACGTCCAAAACTGATTGACCTTCGATTTCCGGGTGAAAGCTCTTTGTATGTTCGCAGAAATCTATGATCTTATTGAAGGAACTGTCGCATGCTTGGCAAAGATAGGGCTCTTTATGTTCGTCCATGATATGACACTTCAATTCGGACAAATCTGAAAATGATTTCGAGCACATGAAACATATCAACTTCTGTTTCCCTTTCACAACTTCAGTGATAACTTTGTACTCCATCAATTGAACTTTCTGATGTATTTGTAGATGTTTGAACAGTTCTTTCCTAGTCTCATAATCTGTTGGGCAGAACTTGCAAGGAAATCTTTTCCGGTGCAGCCTCTTTCTATGAAGATTCAACTGCTGTTTATCTTTAAACTGTCTTGTACAAGTATTGCAGGAGTAGCAATCATCACTGTACATCTCATGAGATCTCAAACACGTCAACATTCTGCTCTTCCTTTTGTAAACTTCACCACAACTGCATTCATATCCTTCCTTCTTAATCACATCTGTTTCTGCATCGTCTAATCTAGGTTTCTTATCGTAGCTATAATCTAGGTCATCCTCCATTTTGTAATCTAATCCATTCATGATATTTACAGCTCGTTTCTCCATAGAACTTTTCTCGGGCTGAGTGTAATCCTTATCACACTTGTGGCAATGGAAATCTTTATCATCAGGGTGATAATGATCGGCTTTCAGTAATCCGTATGCTTCTTGTTCTAATGTAAGCACATCCCCGGTAATTGAATTCAGTTGGAATGAATCATCGAGTTCATTATCATAGTTAGTTGATAATATCTTCTCTTCTATTCTATTGTATGGAACATTTCCTTGAACCATGGGATGTATTTCCATAACCAATGTCTTTGTGGTCTCGGACTGTATTAATCCGTCGGGAGCATTCGTTATAGTGGATGTTGTGTTTATAACTTTATTTGATATGAGACTCGTTTCTGTTACAGTTAATCCCATTTCTTCTTTGATATCTTCGGTTTTGATGGGTTCCTGAAATTTAAGTAATAATTGATTAATGATAATATGTATATTTTAAAGTCTTTTCTGAGTTAGTGAAAAATCTAAGTTATTCTTGCTATTTATGGACAAAATATTGTGCATTCTACACAATTAGGTAAAATATAAATAAATATCTGTAAAAACATATCAGTCTAACTAATAAAATGTATGGTTAAAGACTTTATCTAAAATTTTATATAAGAATTACCATTTAATTTTAGATAATTATATTAACATAATAATGTAATGAAATTTATAAATTCTTTGAATTCTAAACAAACTGTTGGAACAAATTCTCAATAAAATGTGATCATTTACAGAATATTTGATCATTGGCTTGTACCAATGACATATCTTTATATATATAGTTCTTCTGTGAGTGTGTATGTCACTGAACTTCTCTCAAACGACTGGACCGATTTTGATGAAATTTTTTGTGTGTGTTCAATTGGATCTGGGAATAGGTTAGATTCACATTTTTGTCCGCTGGACAATGTTTTTTTAATTAATTTTTAATTTATTAGTAGTTTTTTTTTTGACATTAGATTGAACCAACATTTTTTTTGACATAAGATTTGACAACTAACTAATATGTCAATCATTCTGTCGCACTTCAGAACACGGAGATTTATGGCTTTAATAGGTAAACTTCAAAAATATACTTATATAAAAAAAAGTAACAGATGTTTCTTGATTATAGGGTGATACGAAGTTCGCCGGGTCTTCTAGTTTATAACCAGAACTTTATTTATACCACAAAACAAAACTAAAATCTGTAAATTAGTTTAAAAACTTACAGTATATTCATTTTTAACATCGATATCATCTCTTAAACAGGCCTCGACATTATTCAAAGCCTGAGCTTCCTCGCTGTCCAAACTACCGTCATTGTAATTATAATAACCCATTTCATCATTAGCATCATCATCTTCTTCATCATCTAACTCATCGTCGATCTCATCTTCACTTTTAATGCCATCAAAATGCAGCGGCTCCTCGTAAACTAGAGTTTCGGATATCAATTCCTTATCTTGAGCAACCTCGACTTGTTCAAAGACTGGACTAAACTCGGCTTTAATATCAACATCGGTATCATCATATAAATTAACCAGTTCATCTGTTTTTATGTCTTCTAGAACATGACTTGGGTCTTCTTCTTTAATTGGTAAATCAGTAACAATTTTGTCTACACTATCCGGTTGAGAATCTTGAACTTCCATTATTACTTATTACGTTCCTCAAGTCTCTTAGTGATTTTATATTTTCATCGTTCCTGAAAAATTTGATAATGAAATTCACTTTTTTATACAACCAAAATACATTAAGGTAAAGTAGTGTTGTAGAATTAAAAGGCTATTATTGTGCATAGTGAAAAGGAATAATAATGAATATTGTCATACCAGCAATGATTCAAATGAGATTTAATCACTACGAGCGAATTATCCATTAAAATTTAACACTATTGAGGTAGAATAGTGTTTAGGAGTACTGTCCACAAATTTATATATGCAATTACAAAACAGTATGTAAAAACGGGGTTATTAATATATTGCTCTTATTCAATAAACCAACAATGTATTTAAAAATACAAATAATCACACTTAAATAGTAAAAGTAAACATTTTATTGTAAAAATGACAAATTATGCCAAAAGTTGCAATATTTCTGACAGCTACTTTTTAATTCAATTTTGTTTTTTTTAATGCAATAGTGTAGATAATAAAGGGACAATAAATTAAGATTTTTATAAAAAGAATTAACCATATTCTTTATTTCTATATTAAGAACGCATATCAATTTGATTAAATTCAAAACTAGCATATTTAATTAAACAAAATATTTGCTTCTTGAGGCGATTGATATGAATTTCGATTATTTAGAATATTTAAATATATTCTAACATAAAGTTTGTGTGACAAAATAACAAATTACCTTTTAGTTATTTTTAACATTCAATAAATTAATTTATAATTTTGACCAAAAAGAAAGTTGGGATATAAAAAACCAATATGGCGTCTAAAAATACTGAATGAACCGCAAAATCTTGTTTCAAGAACGCATCAGTAGTATATTCTACTTCAGAGGTAAAATCGAAATTGTGTTGATTATTAGTGTTCAAACAAAATCATTCCATAAAAATGCAATTTCATTTCTATAAATTAAATAGTGAGATTTTCAGGATAAAATGGCAAAGGCAGTCAATTTACAAAATCTCGTAAAACATATTGTTAATGGTACGTTGGCGGAAAAACTGTGCCGTATATGTTTATTGCCAATAAATGATCTCTATGAAGATATTTTCACAAATATTTGTAAAGAAAACAACGAATACTGTGTGGCTGATGTACTTAACACGGTCTGTCAAATAAAGGTGAGTTTTCCCTGTAAATTGGCATTTTGTCAAATCAAAACCATTTAAAAATAATGCTCTTCGTATAATAATTAATTTATATTCCAGATTTCACATGTAGATAATTATAGAGTATGTGCAAATTGTTTTATTAGTGCCTCTGAAGCTTACAAATTTTACCTCCTCACTCAGAGAAGTAATCAAATTCTAGAATTCTATGTGAATGAATTGGAAAATCACGTTAATTCAATAGATTACACGGAGAATATGTCTGTAGAGTCTCTCTGCATACCACTGCCAGTTATAATAGTTGATACTGATTATGATTTTGATATAAGTAAATTTCCATTCAAAAGTGTTCTTCACGAAATTCCTATTGTGCACGGTGGAAATGTTACAACTGAAATTAGTGTAGACCGTATTAAATCTGAAGACAGTGATGAAGGAAACATAGTTATTGTGATGGATGATGGAGTCCCTGCATTCTTTAAGCCACAGAGAGACGAATCGTTACTCACATTTGACGGAGAGAAAGATTTGAGCGTAGATTACGATAATGAACCGGAACGGAAAATTAAGAAGAGGAAAAGGAAACGGGAACCGATGGAATATAAAATATGCAGCCGTTGTCCAGTTAGATATAGATTTGTAAGAAAACTTAAAGAACATATGAAAGAAGAACACGGTGTCGATCTTTTTGTTTGTAAGGTATTATATATATTCTTTATATATGAATATTATCAAATTAATATATAATATAGTTTATTTAGTCAGTGGTGGCCTAGTGGTTAAAGGGTCCGCCTCTCGTTGCCGAGGGCGCAGGTTCAGACCTGGCAAGTACCAATTTCGGAATCATATGTACTTTCTGAGAGCATTTAGACATCACTGACATACGGTGAAGGAAAACATCATGAGGAAACCTGGACTTATAGTTTCACAATTATAAGTTTGAAATCACCAACCTGTCTTGAGCAAGTGTGGTGATTAATGCTAATGATAGGCTAATGACATAGTTTATTTATATATAAAAATTTCTTTTAGATCTGCCAAGCCATAATAGAGGATGAACAAGAATATAACAATCATCTCCAAACACACACAGGTATACACACATGTGCTATCTGCAATATGGTGTTTAAGAAACGTAGCACCATCATAAAACATTTTAAATGGCACGAAGAAATGAAAACTAAGAGTCAATCGGACGGACTTCATATTTGTGAATACTGCGGCCTCATGTTAGTGAGTGAAAATGATTTAAAAGATCACAAAGATAAGAAACATGTCAAAAAATACACATGCTACTACTGCGGCAAAATGTATAAAGGGGAATTGAGTTTTGAAACTCATATTAAGAAACATGAAGCTAATAATGATTCAAAGTTAGTAACAATTACTTATTTCTTTGTAATGTTCAATTATTTATATATAAGTACTCATTAATTCTTTTTCAGTAGAAGTTCTGTTAAAGTAAAGCAAGAATCGAAGAAGAAACGCAAGTACACTTGCCCTACCTGTAATCGTGACTTTGTTGATGAGAGAGCTCTGTTGTGGCATGAGCGACTACACACTAACGAAAGGCCATATATTTGTGATGTAAGGAATATAATATTACAATACTATATCTTCTATTTTGATGAAAATGTTGAATAATCTTGTATGAGTATGAAGAACATATAAAATTTTGTACCTGTTTCAATTTAAAGCTATTTCTGTACAATACCCAAGTATAGCAAAAACAACCAGATCTTATTTTTAAATAACAATATATGTATATGATTATCTTGAACGCATCTACATAGACTTACCTCATTCAAAATAAAATTACATAGTATTTATGGTAGTAATAGAAAATTAACTACATCCCTACTAATATTATTAATGCAAAAGTAACTCTGTTTGTATGTTACGCTTTCACGCCTAAGCCACTGAACTGATTTTAATGAAATTTGGTACAGACATAGAGTTGACCATGAGAAAGAACATAGGATGGTTTTTATCACAGACTTGAAAGGTTCTCTTGGAAACGCGATATAACCGAACTCCACGCGGGCGGAAAGCTAGTTTTTAATAAAACAATCCAAGTTATATCTAATAATTATAAATTTAGGCATGTCTACATGTTGTGTGTGCGTGTATTTCTGCTTGTCTGCCTGTATGTGTGTGTGTCTGTCTGTGCGTGTGTTAACTTTTCCCCATGTATATCAGGTGTGCGGTCGCGGGTTCGTGTCCCTGAACCGTCGCAACCAACACTCTGTATGCGCGCACACGGCGCCCGCCCGCCGCTGTCCGCTCTGTCCCGCGCTATTCCACCTCAGATCGATGGTCAATACTCACGTTAAGAAGGTATTACATATTAGATATCATCGATATATACTAATGGACATGCCTTAGAGATCAGAATTGTGGCACTCTGAAAGAAAAAGAAATGAAGTTTCGGTCTATCTTTATCTCTCTCAAATTTATATGCCTTGCTTGTAATGAAAACTGAGCGCCAATCATCTATAAGGAAAGAGATAGAGCTAGACCGAAAGCATAGGCCATCTCTCTCACTCTTTTCAAAACAAAAAATTACTGCAGATTATACGCGTTCGCCATGTCCATTAGTATATGTGGATGCTAGATATACTATCACAAGTGGCGCCCTCTGGTATCGACTTGTTTGAAAACTATACTGACATTGAAAAACAAATCTGAAACTGTACCTCCAACAATATGTACTGTTTTATGTTTGACAACCAGTTAGTTATGAAATATTAAACTCAAATAGAAATTGCTTGTAGAATCTAATTTGTTTTCAATAGAAACCACTCCAAATAGCTTGCCTATAGAACAAAAAAATCTCAACTTGATCATATATTTGGTTTGTTGAGATCATATTCATTAATAAATGACCTGAGTCGACAGTATATCGTTACTCGATTTACTTAACTATATTCCCAAATATAGTCTTTAATATATTACTTTATATTTCATTTAATTAATATATATTTATTCCAAACTTTCAGAGAAATATTGAATCCTTGTCTTTATATACTATTTTTCTATATATACCTTAGAAAGGAATGTTGTATATATCAAGTTAATAATTTTAACATTTTATTAATAATTTTTCATGTATATAATTCATCAGGTACATCTTAAAGCCCACAAGCGTCGTAATCGCACCAGCAAGTATCAGAAAGTGTTTTGGAAAACTGAACGAGTCCCTATACAAGAGTTGAGTGTGTCCATACAAAACGAACTGTTCGAACTACAGGCAACACAAAACCAAAATGTTCTCACTAAGAAATGGGTATTTATATATATATCTATAAAATATTTGAATTAAATTACTTTTGTTCATATGAATAATATATATTTTTTGTTTCAGTGACATTTTAAAGGATCATAGTATGAGCAATATCCATTGAGTGATGTCTTAAACATTATATAGGGTGTATTTATTAATACACCCTATATTATTAATAAAACAACTTTAACCCCTTGTATATATATTTTATTAATTTTTTTAAAATTTTTTTAGTATCATATTTTTATATATATAGTAATAATGAATTGGCTATTAATATATACAACTTACATTAAGTGGGTTCTTAGAATAAACTAAAGATTCTTAGGAGCTATGTGGAATCAAGTTTGTCAACTTTCACTTTCGCCTTTAATTATGTGATTTGTCATTAAAATTTCTCAATCAACATTTTATATTGTTTTAATCATCCTTGAGAGTTGTAGAGGTAATAATTTGACAGAAATGGATAATTCTGATAGAAATTCTCATTATGCATATGACAATATACTGAGATGTGTTACATTAAATGTGTTCTCAGTCATTTAAAAACTCTAATAACTGTTATTAATGAATATATAAAAAGAGGTTAATGATAAAATATTGAATCAAGAAACACAGATCTAAAATAACATGAAAGCTCCAATTTTCTTAATACTTTGGACCAATTATTAATTTGTAATATAGGAAAGGTATTTAATTGCATTTTCAACATTGAATGTAAAAAATAAAGAATATTAGGAATGAATTATCAATATGGTATGCAGATTTAGTGCGTCCGGATGATTATAATATATAAAATCGTAGATTAAGAATAAAATCACAACATATGAACAGTTTTATCCTCATTATCCCAAAATACATATAATTTGTTCTACTCGGTGAGTTGGCATCCATTCTTTTTGGAACAGTCGTAATGAGAAACAAACATTCATCAACATTTCTTAAACAAATGGCAATATTGCCGATATTATCCTATCATATACTTAAATCAACTTCACAAATAAAAATGAACTTAATGAACGATTCTTTTATAAGAAAATTAGTGATTCAAAACTAGGAAGAATTATAGAGAAATACCTTGTCTTATATTGATGGGGAAAGCTTAAAATATATATATGCATTGAAATCAAGATAGTTAGACTTGGAAGGTGCAATCATTAATTTGTATAGAATTTCAATTAATATATGAAACCAAAAAGAATGATGCAATATTCTTTCTTATTTAAGTAATTTATAGTAAACATTTGCTGTGATAGTTGGAATAGTGTGAATAAATCCTTAAGTAGAAGAAATACGAGAATATAAAAAGGTGGATTTGGGGCGAAAGTATGATAAGGTAGTAAACACACGGTCGAATTATTTGTTATAATTCACTAATAGTTTCATCCACTTTGTACTACATAGGCGTTTGCAAGAAACCTATTTACATCCTGTGAAATGTCCTATGTCAATGTACTCCATGAAAAACTCGGTACAAACGTTACTCGACGACATCGATAATAACTAGCTATCCATAATTATAAAAAAACTCTCCAAATATATCTCTGGCGTAAAAGATTAAAATGTACAATTATACAATATATAAAAGTCTAAATAGTTTCCTCGCGAACGCCACTACAAGCTAAGTATCGTGCGAACTCACGTGTCCGTTGAGGGCCGACCTGAAACGAGACAACATCAGCGAGTATCGATACTTCGCTATCGACAACACGTACCATACTTACCGACACGGTACATCACTGGCCGCGCGTCACTTATCACTAGCACCTGTCACTGTCACTGTCACCTGTCAAATGTCACTGTCACTCGGCTCAAGTCACAGCCGCCTATGTTTGTGGCTGGCGGGTCCATATATGAACCTTCGCCGCCACTCTTCGTAGTGCTACGTGCACGCTATGCCACTCGAGCTTGACGCCCGGTCGACTTTTTCGCTAGTGTTTTGCTCCGGATGTTGTCCGTTTTGTACGTTAACTTCGTACATGTTTGATGAGTTCGAATCCTCGGTGTATGATAACACGCTAACCTCGTCCGCCTGGAATAAAGACGAGTACATATAGTAATGATACTGTTCTTATGATACTGTCGACTCTCGTTAATTTCAAGCTCCGATCATTAGAACCTCTCTATAATTCAAAGTTATCATGAATTCCCTTAAAAATCTCTTCATATTTCGAACTAAATCAATACATTTTAATGCACTTGTTAATTCGAACGAATTCATTACTATATAATAAAACGACGCGTTAATTCGAAGTCATCAGCGTCTAAAACTGGACAATTCAAAATTGCAGAGAGAAAGACGTTAAATTTTGAAATAAACTAGTATTACAGAATACAGAGTTCTTTCGAATCATTATTTTGTTCATATATGTGCATGTATGTATTATAAACTTTTTTCATTGTTATAAAATAGCAGTTAATGAATATTTATTAATCAATACTTAGTAATTCGAAATTAATTTTTTCTCATACAAATTTCGAACCATTTGATATTTCAACCATCGATAATTTGAAATATTTTAAAAGTCCCTCGAGTTTCAAATTAACGAGTCGACTGTACTAATATTATTAATTCATGTATACTGACACTATTCAACTTTTACATGCATAATGTAACACTAGAAGTTTATATCACACTTAATACAGTAAGTATATAGTTATTATAGTATGTATATACAGTAATACCCCGCTTAACGCGACTCCGTTGTGCCCGGTTTCACTATAATGCGATTTTCAAAAATTTATTCAGGTTGGGACATTGCAGAGTATAGACAATAATGATGACTGTGTCTTGAACGAGTGTCAAACGATTAAAAACAGTGTTGGGTGTTATGAACGTATTTTACAAGAACGTAAAAAAAACGCTACCCAAAAGACAATAGGTACATGTATTTTTTCGTAAAAAAATAGGAGTACCTATGTATTATATAGTGTTCTTAGAATTAAAGTGATTGATTAAAATGATTTTTATATTTGTGTATTAAATTTTGATTGTGTTTAATCATAAAGCTCGATACGTGAATTTCAGTTAACGCGATTTTCTTCGGAACGTATACCTCGCGTAAAGTGGGATATTACTGTAGTTCTTATATGTAGTATGAATGAACTTGTAGTAGGTAAGTGATATACTAACACTGCTCTCCGAGACCCTCTTAGCCTTCTTAGTATGGACAGCGAGTGTTTCATTCTTTCTTTTGTTAACTTTTTCCCTCCTCAGTAGTGATGGGGACAGATATTGATGAAGTTGCTTACGACGAACGTGGCGAGCCTGAAAACATTAGATCATTACAATGTGTTTTATAAGTTATAAGCTACTAGAAGTGAATCATATTTTTAGACCCAGGAACAATTTTTCATACAATAGTATAGAACATCAAATGAACACTAGCAGTTGATAAAAGAAAATCAATTTGCAAAATGAAAGCAGCTTTGACCGATCCTGACATCAGTTGATTGTCAATCAAAGTCTTATCAAAATTCTGAAATTTGGTAGGATTATTCCTTTCGCCGAGTAGAGGTCAGCTAAGAATGGATATTACGAAATACCACCCACAAGGGGGGTTGCGGGTGGTAAACTACTGAACTGATTTTAATGAAATTTGGTACAGACAGAGTTGACCTTGACAAAGAACATAGGATAGTTTTTATCACAGACTTTTGGAAGGTTTTCTTGGAGACGCAATATAACCGAACTCCATTCGGGCGAAGCTGCGGGCGGAAGGCTAGTAATGAATAAAATGATACGGATGCTGTATTATTGCGGATTAACGGGAACGCCCTCTGTTAGTTAACGTACTGTACATACTTAGTAAGTTGATCAAATTTATACCTAAACACTAACGACATACAAAATATATACTTATAATCAATCAGTATCATTTACTACTACTTAAATCTATTAATAAAACAACATATACCTCTATAGTCATTCCTTCTCTAAGTACATTGGTATTCTCGGCCTGATAATGAACGGCTTTTGTGAATGATGATATATCATATGTTAGATCCACATTCACATTTGTCTTGTCAAACACTAGACCTATGAACCACATAGAGCACACATTTGCTACCACCTCGCCCTGGAAAATATACAAGTCATATATATCCTACTAATATTATAATTGCGAAGTTTGTGAGTGTGTGTGTATGTTTGTTACTTCTTCACGCTCAAACGGCTGAAATGATTTTTATAAAATTTTGTATACAGGAAGCTGACGTCCAGGAATAACACATAGGCTACTTTAGATCCCGGAAATTTGCGGGTAACACCGCGGGGCACAGCTAGTGTGTATATAAAAGTAAGTCATGTTAGTTACAATATTTATAACTCAAGAACGGCTGTACGGATATGGTTGAAAATTGGTGGAGAGATAGATTAGAACAAGGAGACGGACATAGGATATTTAATTCTATTTAAACGCCCTGAAAAATATACAAGTCAACATATATATGTGACCTAAGTAACTCTTTATTAAATATGCTATGTATATGCAAGTAAAATTCAGTACAACTGTTATGAGATTAGCCTGAAAAAAAGGTTTAAAAATCTATAAAGATATGCATATACCTTAAATAAGTGTGTTAAACAAAATTATGTTACATACATACAGTGCAATTTTGTTTATTATGTGCATAAAAAAATAATAACATATGATATATTTCTATAGATTTTTTTGTAGTAAATATATATTATGATAATCGGTTAAAAGAAATTTTCTTATTTCTACATGTATGACATGATTTATATTAAAATTCTGTTGTATAACTTAATTTCTTAAGGAAATGTTCGTTTTTATATATAATGAAATTATACCAGATTACATATTAACTTTAAGATATCACATAAAAGTCTTCTTGCATTGAAATTTCTACATGTTTATGTAGATAACATATTATTGTCTACACCCTACATGTAAGTATACATATATTTGTGTTTTCTAAATCTGTTATTATATTAACATATTATTTATAACTCACTTTATCATTTTTCACTTCAGCGGTCCCATTTTCTTCTGTTTGTACTGGTGTACCTATTGATATAAAATTATAATGATTATAAGTTATTAACCAAGTTATAGACACACATTTCCTTACCATACGTCCGAATGGGAGAGCAGATCAGGATTATAAAGTAAATAGTTATATTATTTACTTCATTACTATTATATATATGTAGGGATAAATTACATAGTTTTGTTTATTGATATTCAAGTTTTTTGCCTATATAATGGGATCTAAAATTTTCGCGAATATTCATCTAAATGAAACTATTATTTTTCGGATTTACTACGCGTTCTCTATTTTTGATTATAAACTACATACTTCCGACGTTTCGGTTACTTTACAGCAACCGTGATCACATCTCGTCTGCCCGTGATAAGAATCGCGTACATCCGAAAAATATTAATTTCATTTATTTGCTTATAATTTAATTACATATGTCGTAATTAAGAAAGTTTAACTAAATATATATAATATTTCATATTGAAAATAATTTAAACTTATTTTTACTATTAAAATATTGTATATATATTTTCTTACTATATATATTTGAATATGAATAGAATATTTTATTATTTAAACTAGTTATTGTTTTGTTGACTCAAATATAATCATGAATCACTGTATTTATTAAATCATCATTGTTCATCAAGTAAATAATATATATTTTTTATATTTATTACCTAAGTATATTTGTGTAATAGTAAGTTACCTGGAGGTAATGCGAGTGGTTGTCCATTGTTAGTATTCAGAGGTACTGAGTTGTAACACTCTGGATTCACATGAGCTATTGTTATATGCTGATTTCTTTCTAATGTGGCTGTGGAAAAATATATTGTTTGATTAAAAACTATTAGGTAATCACATATATATAATTTATGTGATTGTTACTATTTACTTAGTTAAACATATACATACTTTAGATATCATATACAAATCTGATGTATATTGAAAAGTGTATAGTTTTAAGCAAATAGAAATAGTATTACAAACATTTCTATAAATAATATTAAATATCTAAGACTTATTATATTTCATGAAGGTATGTATTTACAAAGTTCATGCGATTGTTCATCGTTGATTGTTTATCAAATTCATTAAAGATGTCGAAATAATTAATAAGTAAATTAAAACCATATGTAAATAGAAATATTATGGTTTAAAATAAGTCCATATTTCTTAATTTAAGCTAAATGATAATATACTTGAATACAATGACAAAAACAGTTTATATGTGTGCTATCAACATAAATTATAATAAATGCTATATTTTATACATATATATCCTACTAATATTATAATTTCGAAAGTTTGTGAGTGTGTGTATGTTCGTTACTTCTTCACACTCGAACGGCTGAATCGTTTTTGATTAAATTTTGTATACAGGAATAACACTTAGGCTACTTTACATAGCGAAAATCAGCGGGTAACACCGCGGGGCGCAGCTAGTAATGCTATACTAACTTATGAGATGTCGTATCTTGCTCTCAACCAGTCCACACCAGGGCAATTGATCCAAATTACTAGCTGATGACGCTAACAATACTATGAAGTGTTTGTATCGAGAAAAGAAATTTGCAGCTTCAAACAGACGCTCCCAGCCACACTTTCCAAGCATTATCTCATCGGTTATAGCGAGACCTGGAAAATTTTATATATATATATGTAGTTTTTATCAAAAATAAAATCTGAAAATTATTCATCATAATAATCAGCCTATCAGAGCCCACTGCTGAGCAAAGACCTCTTCTCACATGGAGAAGGTTTGAGCATTAATCACCACACTTGCTCAAGACGGGTTGGTGATTACAAACTTATAATTATGAAGCTATAAGTCTAGGTTTCCTCACAATGTTTTCCTTCACCTTCTGTCAGTGATGTCTAAATACTCAGAAGGTACATATGACTCCAAAATATCACATTGGTACTTGCCAGGTTTGAACCCGCGCCCTCGGCAACGAGAGGCGGGCCGTTTTAACCACTAGGCTACCACTGACTTAATTTCATTTATGTGATTAAAACTCGCGAAAATCGTAGATCTTAATAAATATATAATTTTATTGATTCATTTACTAAGAAAAAAATTTTGTTTGTTTGCGTATTTGTTATGGTTGCTATTTGATACTGCTACATTGATTTTGAAGAGATTCACATAGAAAAACAACAGATGGGAGAGGAGCGATTAATTCTGAGAGGATTCAACAACTTATATTAAATTTTATTAATATTACAAAATACGTACTCCACGATGATAAATAATCTAATATGACAATTTTATTAAAAGCAGAACTCATGTAAATAGAGCCAGATATATGTAAATGAAATTACTTTATTTGTAATATTGATATAACCGTTTTTTACTATACGCATATCAATATCTATACATACATGCATCAAAATATATATATTTTTTACAATTTTTGTCTGTTTATTCCGGCAAAACTCTGAAATGGACCGATTTTGACTGAAAAATATTTTAATTATTTTTTTACTCAGACAGAATCGAAGGTAATAGCTAGTTATATTTGCATACTGACCGAGCCTGAATTCTTCCATAATGACTGTCCTTGTAGATGCTGATACATTGAATGTTGAGTTCTGTTGTGGATATGCCGGAGTTATGATGGGCATTAGGTGGTATCGATCAGACATATTCACCTGTGTGTATAATGGATATTAAAATAATGTTTTGTATATAGAAGTATGGAGATTCTACTATTTGTATATAAGTATTTTTACTATAAATTTGTCATAATTTATTTGAAAATAATATAACCTATATTTTATAAATGCAATAACTGCTTATTGCATTTATAAAATATAGGCGGGGATAGTGCAAATCCACGTAGCTATCTTTGGATAATTTCGCGTATCTACATTGGACGAAAATTATTATCAGAAGAATATTTGAGCTGAGATATTTTCTATATTAATGACTTTTAAGGTATTTTTTTCACAATTACTAATTATTTAGTGTTTACTTTTTTACTAATTGTGGAAAAAAATGTTAATATAGAAAATATTTCAGCTCAAACTTTGTTCTGATAATCTGCTTCCAATGGAGATACTCGGAATTACACACTAGTTACTAGGATTTGCACTATACCCGACTATATGGGAAAGTATAGAAATATAAATAGTTAATATAAAAGTATGAACACATATTTTCTGTTTCTTCCTGGCAATTTCCCAGCTTTAGCCAGGGTCATATTTTCTGCTATTCAGTATGTGATAATTAATATCCATAAAATGCTAGGCTTGGGCCTAGTTCACATTAAAAATATTATTTATAAAGCTGTTTACTCACTCTAGGATCCCATACTGGGAATCCAAGGTTGACTGAATCCGGTGGTTTTAAGAGTACTGGCTGCGGCCACTTCCATTGACTGAAGACTAGGAAGAACTTGTGTAGCAATGTAGCTGGTAATGCATTGGGATACAATTGACATGTACGAGCTACTAGCATAGCCCAAGACACTCCGCCGAGGTAACCCAATGTATTGGAATATATACCGTGCCCTGGAAAAATATATATTGTATATTAGACACAAAACATTTTAGCATTCAAGGTATTCACTGTGTGTCGGGTCCATCGTTGTAGTGAGAGGAGCTAACATTCGTCAACAGATGGCGAATGTATATCATTCTACTGAATTAGAAACTATTAGATCCTTAAGTACTTTAAATTTTCGTATTAATTTAATTGAAAATCGAGTTTATATACAAGTTGATCAAACATAGTGTATCATTTCTAACTAAGAGACTAAACCTCTCATCATTCAATGTATTCACGGTGCGTGTGTCGGGTCCATCGTTGTAGTGAGAGGAGCTTCAACAGTGACTGGGACTTGTGACCCAGGTGTAGGTTTAAGGGACCCCTATCTAACGCGTTAAACGTTCACCTCCACTTTCCAAGCTCCTCTCTCTACTAAATTTGAAAAGAACCCACTATGGCTGCCTTCGAAGTACCTAATTTTTTTATATTTATGGAAGTGATAATATGCTTTGATAGTAATTGAAATATATATAATAATATTTAAAAAATATTTAAAATAAATACACGTAAGTAATTATTTAAATAGAAGATTTTAGCAAGCCCTGCTACTTTTGGGAGATTTTTTAATATATTACTTATTCTAAATTCTATTTAAATTAACTAAATAAATGCTATGTTTTAGTTTTTGTGATAGAAAATGACTTCAATATAAAATGTATATGTATATACATGTATATATATGTTCTTAAATAGTAAATATTCGTTATTCTACATAGTTAATACATATCACTTACTTTTAGCCCATAGTTTTATAGCTCTCAATGTGAGTCTAAATGTATTAATATCGGGGACCAATCTGAGTATTTCATCGGTCACTCTACATCCATTAAGTGATCTCACACACTTCTGATCCAGGTTTTTGAGAAGCATGTCATCTCGGAGGTCGAAGGAATCTATATATGGAGGATATAAATTGAGGACAACGAAACAAGATAAACATTGTAAACAAATGATGAAAATATCTTTAGTCTTATGAATTATAAATTATGAGCTCATCATATTCAATAATGAATATATGAAGAAATAACAATGTAATCAAGTTTTGTTTATATTTATAGATGTTCTTAAAGGCTTTAGTTTCTATTGATGTAAGAAGTTTACCATGATGTTGATATTTTTTATCACGTCTTGGTATAAACACATAATACTATTTAGTTTTACACACATGTAATCTTTAATTTTTATAGGTCATACCTGGTATTTCTTTGAGAGCTAGTCTAGCAAACAGCAGATCTATTTCAATGCCATCGAAGTTCATCTTAATGACTGGCACGAACGCGTCCTCTACAGCCCTGAGATCTTTAACCTACAGACATACATATATAATATATACACAATATATATACTGAAATAGAAAAAAATTGTGTACACATAATTTATAACAAACCAAAATTAATGTTATAGAACAGTGTTTTTCTATCTTTTTGATATTGCAACCCCTTTAGGGGTTGAAAAATTTTGGCAACCCCCTTGTGCCATAGACGGACAAAGAAATTCTAAAGTTAAAAGTCTAAAGACATATTTTAGTTAAAGGACATTCTCTGCAACGGTGGACATCAAAACAAAAAAGAGAAATAAATCTCAATTACAAGTTGATTTGATGGATAATATTAACTTTTTGTTTTTGCCGGCCTTTGACCCACAGTTTGAAAAACACTGTTATAGAGTATACTGTGATCATTGCCTAGTATTTAATATTTGAGTTAAGAATTAAACAAACAATTGGATTGTAAAAAATATCAATTAAATTAATATCATAACAGTAATTACTGTGAATTTATGGTTCATCATGTTAGCAGATTAAAATGGTTATATATAACTTGCTTGTGTGTGTGTGTGATTTTTTTTATATATATCACTGTGTGTTGGTGTCTATATGTATGTGTGTGTGTGTGTTCTCACTTGAGGTTGTTCCTTGAGCAGTTCGTAGAATGACTGGAAGTAGTCTGATCTGTCGATGTGTCTTGGAGCTACACACAGAGCGTCAATATCCGCGCCTCGGTGATGCACCTGAAGAATAAGACATATTTGTAATAAATTATGATGTTAATATGAAAAATATTGTAGTTTCATCCACCATACCGCTTGAGTATATGGTGGGTGACATATTTGTGTATTTCTATTAAGTTTATTGAACTAATAACACTTAGTACATCTTAATGTACTATCATACAAGTAACATATGTAATAGTATATTACATTTTTCCTTACTTGAAAAGAAAGTATATAAATCATATTAATAAACAAAGTTATCTAAGTATATTTATTTTAATAGAAATTATGTTTAAAATTTCATTTTAAATATGGCATTAATAAGGGTGGTTAAAGTCAGCAATGTATAAACACACATTAAACAAACCAAGCCATTTCAACCTGTTTGACAAACAACACATTTCTTTGGAAGACAAGTATATACCAGGTGTACATTAAAAGACAGGAAATGATATTAGTTAAAAATGTCCTTATTCCTACAGAGAATATGATTGGCAATTATCTAACACCTTGGTTTTCCTTGTCATAAATATAAATTCCATATGGAGAAGCTCAAGATTACTTTGACATATTCTGCTTTATGTAAATCAGTGTACAAGAAAAAAATTGTACACAGATGACAAATAACAAGAGTAATTGATAGACATTTCCATCTCTTATTGTGATTGTAATTAATAGAAATAATTGAATAGTTGAAAAATAGTATAATAATCATATGCCATTTAATATAAATGCATAGATTCATATATTAATTGCGGAAAAATATCGAAAAGTTTGGCCTTTGATTTCAATTGTAATTGAGATTAAAAAAAACTTTTTAATAACACAGCCTGTAAAGAAATATAGATATGTAACCTAAAGTATATTTTATATAAAATATATACAATATATTATATATAATATTTTATATATTTTAGGTTACATATCTATCCTGCTAAATAACTTAAAGTCTATATATTAAAGCAATTTGAAGATAAATAAAAACTATGACAAGTCTTGCCTATCAAGTATTTATTAGTTATCTTCTAAAATTAATGGAACAATTCACAGCAATAAAGGTGAACCATCAAATAATAACAAAATTATTTTTTCCCATTGCTTTTTATTAGATCTAAAATTTAAAGTTAGTGTATAACATGACCTGGTTATGTTATAAATACTTGTAATTTTTTTTTATACTCTTAATATTTAATTGAATTATTGTTTTAAGAAATTTTTACTTATATAGCACCTTATTTAGTAGACGTGAAATAACAAGACTTGAGTGTCTATTACAGTACTGAATAATAATATCAAATGACATAGCATTTATACTACTACATAACTTCATTGAATAATTCCGCGTATCAACATTGAAAGCATATTATCAGAAGAAAGTTTGAGTAAAAATATTTTCTATATATACGACTTTTAAGATAATTTTTTCACAATTAGTAATTTTTTTGTGTTTAATTTAATCGGAATTATCCAATGCTAGTTACGCGGATTTGCATTATCCCCGACGATATATTCATCTATATGTATAACTATTGAATTAATTATATGTATTTTATATATATGATAGTTACCCCGAGCCTGTATGATCCGAATGTATATATGTTTCCTCCGACTGTGTCAGCCACACTGGGTGGCATGTTTTTCCTCAAAGACTCGTCTCTTATCCACTGTCTGACCAATCGGTGTAATGATCCCAGAACCTCCATTCTGTGATGCATTTCAGCCTCGGACTCAAAAACACCAAACGGAACCAACGATTCCTTGAGCTCATTTGTCTTTTCAATGTCAATGGGTTTCGGACCTGGCAAAGATATTGTTTTGAATATTATGTAGATTAAAATAAAACTAAAATTTTCGGATTACTACTCGTTAATTTATCATTTTTTAAACTCAGACTACAAACATTTAGAAGGGGATAGTGAGAGATTTTCATCTCGTTTGCTGCAAAGTTATCGAAACATGGGGGATTAAGCAGGTTAAGTAATAATAAAATAACGGGTAGTAATCCGAAAATATTAGTTTCATGGAAATCAGTTTCGCGAAAGTCTTAGGTTATATTGTTATATAGATTATTTGTATGGATATATGTGTATGTTTGTTATGGTTTTTAAGTAGATTAGGTACGATATTGCTGAAACATTTGGTATGTAATCACACACACAGATGGCGCTGTCATTACTTGTCACATATCTATATTTATAAAAATTTCTTTGAACCCAATTTAGATATTTCAGGATTTTGTAAGGTTATGATAATATTCTCATCTCATCAGAATTGTTTAAGTTATTGTTAGTGTAGGTCATACATAATAAATATAAATATTTCTGTCAATACCTTTGTTTTTATTTTTACTATATGAAAAAATTTGTATACATCCTTTGGGTAATTTGAATAAAGCAATATTAATTTTTTGTCTACTTATAGAAAAAGTAGCTAGAACAGTTAATGGTAAGTCCAATAAAACAATATTTAGATAATATAATAATTATAATATGACTAACATATATTTTTATTGTTAATAAATTATATGTTGATGCTATGACAAAATGGATACTTCTAGTAGGTTATTAACTAAATTGATATATTTAAAGCTGACGATGTTAAGAATTCACACATCGAACTTTCCATCTTAATTACTGCAATAAAGCAGCAGTTTCTAAGATCATATAAAAATAAAATTTTCTATATAAAATATATAATTTATTAAGTATAATTATGAGTTTATTTTACTTCAATTATTAGTGTTTAACTTATAGACATAAATCACTTATTGTTTACTCCCATATAAGAAGCATGATTTAGACATTACCTGCCATAGAAATAGCTGAAGTCATGCCCAACGTCTTCAGATTCTGTTGGTTTTGATGTTCATTGGACTTGGAGGCGTTGGCCTGGTGGTTTGTATGTGAATATTGAGATGCCGGCCACATCTTGAATATCTTATTATCTATATTATATAAACAAATGGTGGGCTTATGTCATTTGGGCCGCCTAAATGCTCTGCTATACAGCTACGCGCTTGTCTGTAATTAATTGAATGTAATTTTAGTTATAATTATGAGTTCATATTAATTATGTTAATATTTTGGTAAACAAAACATTCCTTGTGTAGTTTTTTCAATATACATACATATTAATTGAGATAATGTTTGTTTGTTCATTGTTTTCTTACAATTTGTTATCAGTCATGACAATTTTGATAATATTATGTTTGAATTTGCTAGAAAATTTTATATACAAAAACAAATTTAGATCAATTTAATAGAAAGTTACAGAAAATTTTATGAAAAGTATAAATTATTATATATTTTCTTACATTAAAACTTCTGTAGTTATTATATTTATATAACAAAAATATTAAATTAATAAAAAAACATAGGGCTTAGTTTTTCCGCAAAAAGTTTTTATTTCATGATAACTAACAATAATTAAGTGAAATAAACTATATTTAGAATTTTTCCTGAATTAATAATCAGCTGGACGTAGTGACATTGAAAAGTGACACGAATACGCCATGAGGAGAAATAAATTTAAAAACCTTGGTTTCAAAATAACAAAGAAGGCTATGATGAGGCGTTTTTGATATAAATTGTCCAGTTTCACACTTAGAAAAGTGAAAAAACGTCATTTATACTTGTTGATTAAAAAGAAAAAAACTACGAAAAGAATGTATACTATAGAATAATAGTATTAGTTTAAACAAATCTAGTGGTTCATTCACCCATTCTATTATTAAACGTTCATTGTTTATGGACATATTTCTATATACGTTAGAAAAAACAAACAATATTATCGACGATGATATTGAGAGAAACCTCGAAGTTATACACAATAAATTGTGGCATTGCGTAGCGGTTTTTACACTTAATTGTTCTTTGTGAAGTGCTAAGGTCACATACGTAGCTACACTCGTGTTTCATCAAGATAAAATACCAAGTTCGTTTTAAGAAATTTTCCTAAGACATTCATAAAAACTGTTTCTTACATAAAGAAATAACATGGCCATGTATTCGCGCATTAAAACTCACGTTGCCATTACCTATTACGTTAACGAATACACGAAATGAATAGAAGCACTGATATCAATAAACACTCACCAAATCACTTATTTATAAAGTTAGTTTTACCGATACTTCTGAACTAATGACCACGCTCATGTTATTAAAAAGAAACAAACATTAATTTGCAAACAAGCGCCCAACAGTCGCCAACAACAAGGCAGCCATTTTTAATAAATGGCGTTTAAAAGTGTTACCATAGTAATCAAATTTTTTGCTTGGTTTTGTAATCAAGTCAGATATTATGCTACATTTATGATTTAATAATTTTGATTTCATAAAGTAATTTAAAAAATATATTATTATTTGTGTAATATTTAAATTTAAAGACGATTATTTATTTGGGATGCGTTCAAGATATGTTCTTTTCATCGTTACTTTTGCGCATGCTTCATTGGCAGGTTTTTGTGTGACGTATCGCGACGTATTTTATAATTCGGTTGGAGTTGCTCACATACAACTATCTCATTTCACATAGTACCAAAAGAAAGGGATTGATAGAGAGCCGGTTGATGTTTTCGTGTCAGCCTTGTGCCCATTTACGAGGAGTAGGTAAAATCCGCCATCTTGAGAGTGGATTCAAGAATTATAGGACTTTTAGCGGAGTTAAGTGAATAGCCTTTGTAATTTTGTTATAAAATAGATAACCCTTCGATTATTGTATAATATAGTAATATTTATATAACGGGTTCGCGTTAAAGTCATCGATTGATGCGACATCGTATACCCGAAACGCCGAATTCTTTGGTAGTGTTTATGTGACAGAAGACACTGTAAGCTTTCTAATAGTTTTTTGCTAGTCTATTTCCGTTTTCAATCTCGACGATCGTTAGCATATACGTGAAAGTGAATCAGATATAGTTATTGTGTCTTGGCTGTCATAAAAAATATCGTTATGTATTTCTACGGTCAAAGATGCGGTTAGATGGGCGTAGTTGTTTCGTATCGGTTTGACGGCGAGTTTTGAGGCCTTAAGCTGGGCCGGTGGTGGCACGGCAAGGCCTTAGAGGATGCTAGCAGAGGCTTTTGTATCCAGACGTGTAGTGAACAGGAATTGAAGGGAAGATGTCGACTACAATGAGGCCTACGCTGCAGACTGTCCCGGAGTCTCTGCCAGCGGACCATGTGACCACAGCCCCGGCGCCTGCTACCACGACGACCGCAGCACCCTCGCAACCGAGACACCCTCGACCTATATTCAAGGTAAGTGATTCAACATATGTCTTGTTAGAAAACTTGGCTGGAAAGGCTGGCTGCTAAAGAACGGGAATAATTTAATATCTAACATTTTAAAGACTTATTTGGTCTACACAGAGCTTACATTTCATATGAAAACTTAGCTGGACTACTAAAGAACCTGAACAATATAATATCCAACATTTTAAACACTAATTTGGTCTACACAGACCTGTAGCATACAATCTATATGTAAAATTAAATTAAAACTTATAGTTGCATGTGATAGTTAATTAATAAAATGATTTCAACTGCTGAAAATATATCAAAAATGTATGTAGGCTATTATTGTAATTCATAAATTACATCTAAATGTAGAAAGTTCTCATTATAATTGATATACTTTAGACTTGCTTAATATCAATATAAATTATTAATTATATAAAATAAATATTACTATTTTCATATGTATACAATACAGACAATATATAATAGTTATTTTATCATATTTTAACTTTAATTATATATGAATCCCATAGTAAAGTAATTTTATTATTTTCTTTTTATTTATTTTACATCCATGAGTATAAGTATAATGTATTTTAGTTTTTATTATAAACTATAGTCAGTTAAAACCCTTGTACATATAAATTATAATAGTCAATATATTTCATCTGAATAATAAATGCTCAAGTCCATTTAAAAACTTTTACTATAAAAAATATATATATTTTGTATTGAATCAGAAGAAATCTTTGTTTATTAAATAAATATCAATATCTACATTAATAGGAAAGAATATTATATATAAGATAAAAAGAAATTTAATAACATTAAATATTTATAGTAACTGAAAATATCTTTATTGTAAATTGAATTTTAAAGTATTTAATATGAACAGGATAAAATATTTTGAAATTATAATATTTTGGTAATGTGACGTTGATAATAATTTCAACTAATAACAAAATATATTTTATTTAGTAAAATTTAAAGTACTATTTTTTTTTCCTTACCGGAGAGCAACAGTTTACTATAAACTGCCAATATACATATATTTAAAATATTCAGCCAATAAAATATATCAAACCCAAAACAGACTTGTTTTTTAAAAATTATATTGTATAATAAAATGAATCAATAAAAGTAGGTGTGAGCTTTGTATAATTTAATATCAGTATTGAAATTTTGTGAGTCACATGTAACAATACATTATTGAAATTAATCAATGTCGATCGATCAAGGAATATTTTAATGAAAATAATATTAACATACATATATAATAAAATTATTCGTTACTCAGTATACAGGCTAAATACATTATAATATGAAAATGATGGCGTTTGTATATATGTAGGAAAAAAAGACGAAAATGTTTCCATCATTAACATATCATTAACATGTCATTATGTCATTACTATAGGTGTGTACATTTAAAGAACTTGCTTATTGTATGAGTCACAGTTACATCATACATATATATTGTATAATATAGGGAAAGGGATCATATAAGGAAAAGTTTAAATTATTAAAAAGGAGGTTTTATATATATTAAAGTCATATGAAAAAATTTTTTTTTTTTAATTTTACAACCAGCCAGTTTTTGTACAAATTTTATTCTTAATTATTAAAAAGAGGTTTTATACATATAATTATTTTTTTTAATTTATATCCAGCCAGGTTTTCTACAAGTTTTTTTATTCTTAAAGCTTTTAGCCATTTCAAATGTGTATTGTTATAATGTAACTATGTCGCATATGTGTGTATTTGAGTGTATTTTTTCTGTTTTGTGTCCAAACCGTGTAAATGGATTGTCTGAAATCATATCAATGGTTAATACGAAAGACTGTGTGAAATTCATTATGTAATATTATTTACAAATAACATTAAAATCTATTGCTATTTTCGGTTTTTATCTAAGAGAAAATTAATTGTATTATTTCGCAGCGTAATAAAATGATCTATAAATAACGCGCACCGATTCATAACTCTATATATTTTATGGCGTATTCGAAAATAAACTCGTTGGAGACGTTTTTATTTATAAAAATATTATGAATACGAACGTTTTCGGTAGACTTTGACGTTTCATAATTATATATGTATGTACATGGTTATGTCATGTTGCAAGAGCTAAAATTAACGTGTTGGGGGGAAACTGCGTAAGAAGTCACTAGACTGTGATTGTTTTAGATCGGCTGAAAGGATAAGACTTTGGATTGTGAAATTAAAAAAAAAAATTACATCCAGTCAGTTACATAAAAAATCAACTTATGTTGTAAGAAAAAAAATTAGGAGCGTATAAATAAAGGAATCGATATGAAAATAGAACAGTCGACGTCTGTAAGGGATTTCTTTTATGAAAACAAATGGCGAAACGTTTATCTCGAGTGTGTTGAACCCGAACTAATAATAGATACAAAACAAGGTATACTGAAAACGGAACGACATACAGACATAGAGATTGGCTTTAAAAATATATATAATATTGAAAATAAGATTTTATATAATATAAATTATCTATAATATATTCTGTAATATGAGTTGTTATTCACATATGAAATGATTTCGTATGTTTTTGGGCATAGATTATCGTGTTTTAATTTTGATTTTGATATGTGTTTCCCATCGTAGCTATCAAAACGATTGACTGATTTTGATGACGTTTTCTTTTGACATTTTCAGGCCATTAATATTTAAGTGTTTCTCATATGTTAGGACTTAGGTTATTCGTTAAGAATTTAGGTCTTTAAAAATTACGTAATTCATTTTTGGTTTACAACTCGATTAAGTGTAAATAAGTAGGTTTTTGTTTATTAAATTCAGTTATAGTCTAGAATAGTTGGAATTGATTCGTTCTGACTGTCTAGTATACTGATTTTGTTGAGGTCTTAAAACTCTTGAATATATGAAAAAAATCCAATCATTCAACACTACACAATACTTCCGATGCGTCTATCTATAGATACTAGTATAAAATTTATATTATCTACTAATTATATTATAATTTATAACTATGTTTTTTTCCTAATAGTACATATTTTAATTAATACCAATTACCTAAATCTTAAAAGATGTTATATACAGAATATTATATAAATGTATCACTTTGGCAATTATTACCAAAACTATCAGATAATATAATATTTATACCCACTTTTATATAGCCTTTTTAGCCTTTTCATATTTTTTATAACTTTTATAACGTACTATAGAACGTAGTACGTGTTAGTGCCTGTGGGGCTTTAAGGATTATCATAACCCAAGGTTATTCCATACATTTGGAAATGAAAACGATGTTTGACCAACTTGAAAAAATATAATACTAACTGAAAGACATTTTCACCTCGTCTTCGTGATCACGGTTGCTGTAAAGAAACCGAAACCTGAGGATTATACCTACTAATATTATAAATGCGAAAGTAACTCTGTCTGTATGTTACGCTTTCACGCCTAAACCACGGAACTGATTTCAATGAAGTTTGGTACAGAGATAGAGTCGACCTTGAGAAAGAACATAGGATAGTTTTTATCCCAGACTTTTGAAAGGTTCTCTTGGAAACGCGATATAACCGAACTCGACGCGGGCGAAGCTGCGGGCGGGGAGCTAGTGTAGAAATAAAAACTATAAAAACATAACCCTCCTGGCAGCAGTTGGGTAAAAAAACACGTAGTATCCAAACAGTTTAGTTTAAATGTATGTTTAAAATTAACGTATGTCTGGTTAGATACGTGTTTTTTATATGAATTTGGCAATGGACTATCATTCTACCTGATGCTAAGTGATGAAGTTCTAGATTCTAGAAGATAGGTCCATGTATGAAAGTGATAAGATATTGTCTTCTTGCCTTCAAGACAACTCTATTAAGAGTGGATGCAAACAAAGATTTAGACAATTTGCTCCAATTCCTTAGCTGTTTTCATGAAGAAGGATTCCATATCGCTTCTTCTAGGATCGAATATGATAGAAGATTTGTATTAAATATTTCAATAAAATATATGATAAACAAAAATTTCTTCTAACCTAAGGGAAGATATAAAAGAAGTGATTTAATATAATTAATTTTGTCAAAATATTAGTTTCATCCTATTTTTAATACCGTCTATGTAAGTCGATGTTTTGACATTTTGGATATAGATTTATTTTCGGTCATTCGTTTTGGGTCATTGACCTTGCCAAATAAGAATATATAATATTTATTTTTTCTATATAAATAGGTTAGTCTAATAATAAATTTATTTGAATATTATTTGTTGTTGGTAGTTTAAGTGTACTTAAATTTCTATTCGTTATACGATATATTTCGAAATGTACTTATGTGTGTTTTGATAGTATTATAAAAGAAACAGAAATCTTTATATATAAAAGAGGAAGAAAGTCGTGTTAGTTACACTATTTATATCTCAAGAACGGCTGTATGAGTTTGGATGAAAATTGGTTGAGAGATAGATTAGAACATAGAAAGGACATAGGATACTTTTCATGCGATTTATAAAGAAAAAATATAAGTTGAACAAATCCAAAATCTTCTTATCCACTGTCTTTAACAAGGAACAGTTAGTCCGGTTATACATATGTATCTGATTCTGAAACTAACGCAGACGAAGTCGCGAGCAAAATCTAGTATAGTATAAATAAAATAAAATATTTGTTGAATGAAACTAATATATTATTTATAGGACACAGCTGTCTTATACTTTCATCTCGTCTCCACGTGATCACTCGCTGTAAATTATAAGTAACGTCCTATAATATATATAAAAATGATATGTATTAGTTTTCCTGATCAATAACTTTGAGAGTTTCTACTGAATACGTAATATGTTGGAAGGTACTTACCTATATATGTAATGGTTAAGTAAACTATGACAAATTTAATTGTTTTTGATATATTTTTTGAAATAACTTTAATTTAATAGTTATCGTACGAATTTAAAATAGTTTATAAATATATTGTAATTTTAATAACGCGAAAGTAAAGTTATATATGCGTTAATTAGTTCTGAATTCTTTTTAGTTCTGTGTA